AGCTGCGCTCGGCCCCTCGGGCGCACCCCACCCGCTCTCCGGCGCTGTCGGCCCAGCGGGCGCCTGGACCTTGCAGAACTGGCCTTCGCCGACCTCTCGGTGCCTGACGCCTCCCGCAGACGCGCAGGGCGCGGGTGCGAAACAGCAGGAGCCTGCGGGGCAAGCGCTGGGCGGCCGGCACCGCGGTCCCGGCTCCGGGGCGGGCGCGGGGGGCGCTCGCGGCTGCGCGCTGACCTGTCCTCGACTTTGTTTCACTTCAGTTTAGTGTTTCAAGAAAGTAGAATCGTTTTGCCTTCTTTGCTCCCACCCCGCGGAGACTCTTTGCTTTATGTTCCCGATCTTTCCAATCAGAAATGACCGTTTTGCGCCCGGGGCTCCGAGGCGCTTCCCGGGCCGGGGCTCGGGCGGCTCTTGCGGGCGCGGAACGCCAGGGGGCGCCCGCGGCCGGCACCGGCTCCTGGGCCCGGCGGGTCGGACCGCGCGCGTCCGGCGCCTGCGCGGGAGCCGGGCCCAGCCGCGCGCTCGGGTCTTCACCCCCGCGGCCTCTGCCCCTGCGCCCCCGGGGTGTGCGAGGCCGGGCCCCTCTCTGCCAGGCGCCTCCTCTGGTCCAGGCTGCTGCTTTGGAAACGGCAAGATGCTGCTCAAGCGGAGGCTGGCACGGTTACCGTCAGTGTTGAGCAACCGGTGAGCGCCCCCTGTGTGCTGCACCTGCCCAGGCATCTTCTCTCTCGCTGCTGACACCCCCCAGGCAGGTGGGAGCTGCTGTTATCGTCTCCTCCTACAGATGCAGAAACAGGCCCAGACTCGGCAAGCAACGTGCTCATGACTGCACAGCCTGAGCCGGGGACTGAGCAGGGCACTGGATCCCTCGTTTCCTGGACTCCAGGTCCCACGCTCCTAGCTGCTCGCTGCACCTAACTTCACCTCACAGCTCCTGCACACGGGAAGTGTCTGCTGGAAGGATTTTTTTATATTGAAATATATGTATTCATTAAGTCACTGTGAAGCAGACTTTCAAGACTGGGCAGTCAGCAGGCGGCCGGAGTCCAGGACTCCTGGAAATAGGCTCCAGATGGGGTGGCAACTGGAGAGGGGCCTGTCTGCTCCCCAGGCCTCCAGGGGACGAGCCTGGGGTCCTTAACAAGGATCCAGCCTGAGTCACCAGAGCGTTGGCCGCCAGAGATGCTAATGCAAAGGACAGGTGCTTTGCCGTGGGGGTTGCAGCCCCCAGAGCAGTTCTGGGTCTTGGGCCTAACCCAGATTGCCGGGGTCTGGTCTGTGCTGGTGCAGGCCCTGGGGTGCCCACGGGGGTGCAGGCAGGAATGGGCTGGGAGCCCTGCGGTCCAGACCTTTCAGAGGCTTGGGGGAGGGCAGTGAGTAGAGGACAGAACTTCAGCCGGGTGGGGGGGTGGGGGGGCGTCTAGGGAGGGTGGCCCGAGAGCGGCCCCACCAGGCTTGCGACCCCCACCTGTGCTGCTAAGAAGGAGCCAGGCGGGGCTCCGCGCCCTGCTAAGAACTGAAAGGGATCACCCACGTGAACCCAGCTCCGCAGGGACACGTCATCCGCGGTGTTTTCCCGGTAAAGGAGATGGAGCCCAGGATCAGGAGGGTTTAGGGCATCCCCACGGCCGTTCAGCCAGGCCGGGCTGGGAGAGGCCTGAGGCGAGCTCAGGCTCAAATTCAAAACGAGGAAGAGCCGCTGGGCGGCGGGCGGTCCCCGAGGGCTTCCAGGCAGGGGCGGCGTTTCCTGGCAGCCGAAGCTGCGCGTTCCGGGCCGGGGCTGCCTGGCCTTCCCCCGCGTGCCGGGGCGCTCCGCGGGCCTGAGGGAGCCGCGAGCCCCTCGGTCCCGCCCGCAGTGGCCGCCGCGGGGCGCCTCCCGGGCTGGGACGGGGACGGCGGGGCCGCCCCTCCCGCAGACGCGAGACGAAGCCCGTCCGACGACGGTCTGGTGCCGGGACCAGTCAGGAGGCCGGTCCGCGTCGGGCCCAACGGGCGGGGAGGCCCAAAGGCCTGACCCCCGACCCCTCGGCCTCAAGGCGGCACCTCACGGCGGCCCCGCCCCGGCCTGCGCCCCGGGGGCCGTGCGCCTGCGCAGTGGGCGCGCCCGGCCGGAGGGCGGGGCCAGCGGTGCGCGCGAGGGGGCGGGGCCGCCGCGGGCCGCGCGCCTCCGACGGGCCGAGCAGCCGGGGGCGGGGCGGGGCGGGGCGTTCCTGGGCGGGGCCTCGAGGCCGGTTTGGAATTTTTGGCGCGAGCGGCTCCGCGCGCGCCCACGGGCCGTTCCCCTCGGGCCGGTGCCGCCGCCCGGACGCCCGGAGCCGCCGGCGCCCGCCCCGCCCGCCCGCCCCGCCGCCCGCCAGGACCCCGGCCCCGCCGCCGCGCCCGGGCCCCGAGCCGCGCCCGCCGGCCCAGGTGAGCCCAGCCCCGGGGCGCCCCCGGCCTCGTCCCGCCGCGCCCCGCCCCCCTGGCCCCGGGGCCCCCGCCGCCCCCCGGCCCGGGCCCCCGCGCCGCCGCGGAGCGCGGCCCTGCCGAGAGCGCGCCGCCCGCCCCCGCGCGCCGCAGCTGCCCGGCCGCGCGCCGCCTCGCGGGCCGGAGGCGCCGGGTGTGCCGGGCCAGCGCCGCGGGGCCGGGGCGGGGCTCGGGGCGGAGGCGAGGCCGAGGCAGGGCCCCGGGCCGGAGGGTCTCCCCGGGCGCCCCCGGGCCCCGCCCCGCCCCGCCCCTCCGGCGCGGGGGCGCCCCTCGGACGCGCCTCCCGCAGCCCCGCGCGGGGCGGCCTTGGCTGCGCTGTGGCCGCCCGACGGGCCTCCCGCGCGGGCCCAGCTGCGGCCTTGCGCGCGGGCCGGGGCTCGTCGGGGCCGCGGCGTGTTGACCGCGGGACGGTGCCGCGCCCGGGCTCTGTGCCTGGCACCTGCGTGCCAGCCGCGGGCTCAGGCCTCCTCCGGGTCAGGGTTGCCGCCCCGGGCCGGCTGCGGCTTGGAATTCAGCCTGTCTCCATTACAGACGCGGTGGGTGCACGTGCGCGCCTCTGCTGCAGCCCGGGGGGGCAGGGGGGGGGCGGGCATCCCACCATCAGCCACATTTACTGTTGCTGTCGGGCAATATGTGAATATTGTCACTCAGAGGGAGAACAGCCGAGGGCTGATTTTTCTACTAACTGAGTTTTGCAAGTGGGTGTCCAGTTATCCCAGCAGCATTTTCTCCCCCAGAAAATTGCTTTTTTCCTATGTAACTGTTTCGGCATCCTTGTTGAAATCAACTGAAAATGTGAGCATTGATTTCTAAACTCTCAGTTCTATTCCCTGCACCTCTTGTTTATCGTTCTGGGTGTACCACACTGTTTTGATTAGTGTTGTAGTAAGCTTTGAAACTAGAAAGTCTGAGTCCTCCATTTTTTTTTTTAGATTGATTTATTTATCCATACAAGAGCTGGGGTGCAGGCCAGAGGTGCGGGGTGAGAGGATTCCCAGAGACAGAGTGGGGAACAGAACAGGCAGATGGACTGAAACACACTGCTGAGGGGAGCAGCGGGGAGACAGGAGAGGTCTGCTGCACCATGTGGGTAGCTCCCTGGCCGGGGATCGAACTTGTGCTGCAGAGGCTGCAGACAGCTTCATAGGTTGTGTCTTAACCCCTGCGCCATCAGGGAGGCCCAACACTGAACTTTTTAGATAATATGTTGTGGCATTTGTAGATACTGGTGCCCTGCCCCCATCCCCTTCAATGCCCTTTGCTTGTGCTGTGATGGGCTGGACCACTGCAGTGATCACTCTTTCCCCTGTGGCGTGAAGCCTCTGCTGTCACTCCTCTGAGGGGCCAGCCTGGGCACAGTCGCCCTGGAACACCAGTGATTGGGCTTTCTTTGATAGTCCTTCCCCTGGTCACACTCAGCTGTTTGTCTCTCCTGGTTGTCAGCTGATTGCTCAATTGTTTTTGACAAATGCCCCAAGGCACCAGATGCTCTTTGGAGAAATCCAATTAAATTTGGATTTATTTATAAATTCCTTTAACGGGGTAGCTTTTTTTTTTTTTTAAAGGTTTATTTATACATAGAAGAACTGGGGTACAGGCCAGAGGTGCAGGGGATGAGAGGATCCACCAGAGACAGAGTGGGCAGCAGAATAGGTGGATTGACTGAAATCCACTGCTGAGGGGAGCAGCGGGGAGACCGGAGAGGTCTGCTGCGCCCTGTGGGTTGCTCCCTGGCTGGGGATTGAACTTGTGCTGCAGTGGCTGCAGACAGACAGCTTCATAGATGCGTCTAACCCCTTGTGCCACCAGGAAGGCCCTAACTGGGTAGCTTTTGAGTTAGGTGTTGGGAGTTTGTTCTGGCCACAGGAAGGCAATTCTTAGCTGTGCTATCCCTGGTCCTCTCCGGTCAGCTAGCTGGCCTGTGGCTTAGCTGGACATGCTGGCTAGTAGAGGATACACTTCCTCTTAGTTGCTTACCCCAAAACCTCCATGATTTTGAGTTCAAGTTTTCAGACTTGAACTGTCCACACTGTTTCAGATAAATCAGTTTCTTGCAGGAGGGCTCGGTGCTCTGTCCCATGCCTGAGTCCAGAGCTGCGGCTCCGGCACAGCACGCACATGGCTCTGATAGACACAGCCTCCTTCCGGTGGGGTGGGGTGGTGGGGGCTGGCTTCTGTCCTTCTCAGCTTGCCCCTTTCTCCCCCCAGTACGGAACCTCCTTCCTAGAGGAGCTGGGGCTGTGTGACTGGGCTCCAGGACCCCCAGCCTGCGGGGCCTGAGGTCGAGGAGGCCCAGGTTGCTGCGGGGTGGCGGCCTGTGGGACTGTTTCCCCTGACCTTCCCAGAGGTGGCGACGTAATTTAGGGCCAACCAGCCAGGCGGCCTGGCTCCGGACTCTGCTGGCCACGGGCGCCAAGCCCCTCACTTGCTGTCCCCGTGACCTCTGAGGTACCAGCGAGGGCGAGCAGGCGCGTCTGACTCTGCCCTCTGCCTCTCCCTCCAGGCGGGTGCTTCATGTTCACGGCCGGCCCTGTGTGCGCGCGCAGCGGACGTGGCGCTCCCCTGCAGCCTCGCGGGGCCCCGGGCCCAGGCGCTGTGTGAGTGGTCCCGAAACCTGCCCCTCAGGGCGTCGTGCGCTGGCCATGCCTGTGCCCACAGAGGGCACCCCGCCACCCTTGAGTGGCACCCCCGTCCCAGTCCCGGCCTACTTCCGCCACGCTGAGCCCGGCTTCTCCCTCAAGAGGCCTGGGGGGCTCAGCCGGAGTCTCCCGCCACGGCCCCCGGCCAAGGGCAGCGTCCCTGTCAGCCGCCTCTTCCCTCCGCGGACCCCCGGCTGGCACCAGCCCCAGCCCCGGAGGGTGTCGTTCATAGATGAGGTCCCCGAGACCCTGCGGAGCCCCGGCTACGACCCCAGCCGGCCCGAGTCCTTCTTCCAGCAGAGCTTCCAGAGACTCGGCCGCCTGGGCCACGGCTCCTACGGAGAGGTGTTCAAGGTGAGCGGGCCGATGGCTCCCCGGGCCTGGCTGGGGTCCCCGGGCCTCTCCCTCCATTCTCCGGTAGGCTGTGCCCCCGCCCCCCGTGGGCAGGCGCCCCTCCACGGTCGGCGCTTGCCGTGGCGGCTTCTCTGCGACCCTCTCCCCGCGCCCCTCCCGGCCGAGGGCGCTGAGGCGCACACACCGCCTTTATGTTTTCTTAAAATATATTTCCCATCATTTCCAATCCTGTAAAATAGTTTTCCTCACACAATACTCTGTGAAGGCGACGCTAGGAAAAAGCACAAACCACTCAGGGCCGCTCCTTCCCGGAGGCGAGCGCGGCGCTCCCCGCCCGCCGGCCCCTCCGTCCAGGCCTTTCTCTGGCGGCCTCTGGGCCGGACCTCGGAGACCCCGGGGCTGTCAGCCAGGCCGTCGGGTCCTGCTGCCCTTGTTCCGCTGCCAGCTTTGCTCAGGGACGGTGGTCCGGGAGCCGCCGGGGCTGGCGCTCGGGCTGGCCGGCCCCTCCCGGGCTGTCTCCAGCCGCGCGGCCCGGGGAGGCGTGTGAGCTGCCGCCCCCGCGCCCTGGGGCCCCACAGACCTGAGGGCTGTGCCCCCCACGCCCGCTCCCCCAGGTGCGCTCCAAGGAAGACGGCCGGCTCTACGCGGTGAAGCGTTCCATGTCGCCCTTCCGGGGCCCCAAGGACCGGGCCCGCAAGCTGGCCGAGGTGGGCGGCCACGAGAAGGTGGGGCAGCACCCCCACTGCGTGCGGCTGGAGCGCGCCTGGGAGGAGGGCGGCCTCTTGTACCTGCAGACGGAGCTGTGCGGGCCGAGCCTGCAGCAGCACTGCGAGGCCTGGGGCGCCGGCCTCCCCGAGGCCCAGGTCTGGGGCTACCTGCGGGACTCCCTGCTGGCCCTGGCGCACCTGCACCGCCAGGGCCTGGTCCACCTGGATGTCAAGCCGGCCAACATCTTCCTGGGACCCCGGGGCCGCTGCAAGCTGGGGGACTTTGGGCTGCTGGTGGAGCTGGCTGCGTCCGGAGCAGGCGAGGCCCAGGAGGGGGACCCCCGGTACATGGCCCCCGAGCTGCTGCAGGGCTCCTACGGGACGGCGGCCGATGTGTTCAGGTGAGGGTGGGTCCGGGAGGCCCTTGGGGGGGGCCTCGTGGAAGAACGCAAGTACCAAAGTGAGGGGGAGGCTGTACCCTACCCCATGCAGACCCCTCCCACCCTCTCCTCGCAGGGTTCCTGCAGGGCACCGTCTTCCCCAGCCTCCAGGGGAGGGGCAGGCAGTGCCTCATCTCTGTGCGTGCGGGTGCAGCTTACTGGACTCGCCCAAAGCTGGCTCAGACCTAGGGGTTCCCTGATCCCTGCGGGTCACACTGCTGGCCGTCCCAACAGGCCACTGAGGGCCTGGTCACTATGGGGCTGGGTGCCGGGCCCACACACCGCAGCACCCCATCCCCTCCTCCCTGCTGTGGCAGATGACAGCACCCTCTCCTAGCCCTTTTGGGGAGCCTGGTGCTCTCAGGTTGGGACCCCGAGGCCAGCTGTGTCCTTCTCCTGTCCCCATCCCCCCAGCCTGGGTCTCACCATCCTGGAGGTGGCCTGTAACATGGAGCTGCCGCACGGCGGGGCGGGCTGGCAGCAGCTGCGCCAGGGCTACCTGCCCCCGGAGTTCACTGCCGGTGAGCGGGCAGGGCGGGCTGGCTGGAGAGCTGGGGGGAGGGAGTGGCTGGCGGGACCGTCACCCCTGATGCGGCCCTGCCTGTGGACAGGCCTGTCTCCAGAGCTGCGCGCTGTCCTCGTCATGATGCTGGAGCCCGACCCCAAGCTGCGGGCCACGGCCGAGGCCCTGCTCGCCCTGCCCGTGCTGCAGCAGCCGCGGCCCTGGAGTGTCCTGTGGCACGTGGCTGCGGAGGCCCTGAGCCGCGGGTGGGCCCTGTGGCAGGTGAGCCTGGCGATGGCGACAGGCTGCCCCCTGCTCCCCAGCCCAGGGTCCTTGCAGCTTCCCATGGCCCCTCTTCCCGCAGGCCCTGCTGGCCCTGCTGTGCTGGCTCTGGCATGGGCTCGCTCGCCCTACCAGCTGGCTGCAGCCCCCGGCACCCCCCGCCACCCCGCCTGGCTCACCACCTTGCAGCCTCCTCCTGGACAGCAGCCTCTCCAGTAACTGGGATGACGACAGCATGGGGTGGGTGAGATGACAGCTGGGGGTGGGGGCAATGGGCTCGGGGGGCCCTCGGGTATCAGCGGGGACCGGGACCCCTCCTACCAGCCTGGTGCTCAGCACACTGGGAGGAGAGCAGGGCTGATGGGCACAGCCTGGCCCAGCTTGAATGAGGTGGTTTCTTTTGGGTTCCACATGGGGGGCAGCTGCCCCCCCAGGGGGCATCCGAGGGTTGCGACCCTGCTGTCCGTGCCCTGAGTAGAGACTGCATGTGCCCACGGACCAGGCTTTGTCCTTCCTGGGGCGGGGGGCAAAGCTCCAGGGCCTGGCGAGCCCCTGGGAGGAATTCCTTAGCCCCGGTGCCCGTGTGCAGGGAGCATGGTGAAGACACGGCTGTGGGGAGGAGGGCTGGGGGGCAGCCTGCCCTTGGGGGGGCCAGGCGTTTGCCCCTTCCTCAAAGACGCCACTTTACAGGGGGCACTTTGCAGCAGACATGAGGCCCGGGCGCTCTGGGGAGGGCAGGGTGGGGGGTGCTGAATGCTGGGAAATGCTTCTTCAAGACCCGGCACGCTTTGTCCCCAAGCCCCTGCCGTGTCAGGAGCAGGACGGGTCTAGGCTTGCTGCTCCCACCCCTCTCCCCACTGGCCTTGGTCCTCTTCTGCAAAACACCCCACTCTTCTTGCCCACCCTCCACAGACCCTCGCTGTCTCCAGAGGCCATGCTAGCCAGGACTCCCGGGAGCACCTCCACGCCCCAGAGCAGGTGCCCGATGAGGTGAGTGGGCCCCGGCCCAGGCCGTGGGAGGGGTGGCTTACGGGTCCTGAGGGTCATTTCTCTTCCCGCCCTCCGCAGGGATCCCCTGGACCTAAGTGACCTAGACTCTGAACCACCTCGGGGCACCTTCCCCTCCTTTGAGCCTCGGAACCTCCTCAGTCTGTTTGAGGACTCACTGGGCCCAAGCTGAGCCGCACTAGCCTCCGTGCTTTTACCCTTCCAGCCCCTCCCTCCTCCTGGAGACCGAGGTCCCCTGGGAAGTCCAGGGCCCCTCCTGTCCGGCCATGTCTAATAAAGCTACTTGGATCTGGGGAGCACCCAAGCGTGCTTTTGTGACAATGCAGCGCTTCCTGCCCCCTTTATTGATGTCGCCCAGGGTCTGCGGCCCAGGAGCCAGGGCTGAGCCCTGCTGCAGGGCCCGGCCGGCCAGGGCTGGAGCTGGGAGCCAAACGCTGTGTGAAAGAAAGATTTCCTGAGCAGGCACGGCCCGGCGGGCAGATGTAGCAGTCAGCATGGCACTCGAGGTGGAGGGGTCCTGGGTCAGGGCGACGCAGCTGTCTCAGTGCCAGCTGCCTCGAAAAAGCAGCAGCTACTGCCGTCCTGTCCCTTGGTCCTGGGATAAGGGGTCGGTCTTGCCACCCAAGCCCCTCCCACCACAGTCTCTAGATGGGCTGGCATCGGGCAGGGCGGAGGTGGCGGTCAGGAAGCATGGTCGGAGCCTGGGCCAGGCAGCCACAGGTGCCACATATGAGGGCCCAAGGAGGGGAGGTGATGGCCTTTGCCGGCAGGATTCAAAAGTTCAGAGCAAGAAATGACTCCAGTGTCCCTCAGCTCCGACACTCAGGTCAGAGAGGGGCAGCGGAGGCCCACAGGAGGAAACTTCCAGCCCGCAGTGAGACAGGACTCCAGGGAGCGGGGAGAGGAGGCTGGTCCACCGGGCGGCAGGGGTGAGCAGACGAGTTCCCAGCTGGGCAGCCCTGAGGAAGTCAAGCCCCGCCAGACCAGCAGCAGGGGAAGCTTGATGGTGTTGGCTCGAGGAGACCGCGGGCGGGCGGCGGCGGGCGGGCGGGCGGTGGCGGCAGCTCAGTCCGGGGGGCAGGCGTGGCGGGCCGCCCAGAGCAGGTCAGGCACGACGCCGGCGTGCAGCTGGAGGATGGAGCCCACGCTGAGCAGGTGCATGATCTGGTGGGAGTTGCCCCAGTAGTCGAAGCGGCCGGGTCGCCAGCGCTCCGGCAGGCGGGCCACGTTCACCAGCCCCCCGAGCAGCGCCAGCGCGTCCATGCGCAGGTAGCAGGGCAGGGAGCCCGGGGCCCCGGAGCCCAGCCCCACTCCCCGCGCCCCGAACACCAGGAGGCGGGCTCCGGCCTGCCACCCAAAGGCGCGGAGCCGGGCGCCAGTGGAGGGGGCGGTGAGGGCCCGCCAGCCAGCCACGCCTGACAGCACGGTGTAGCCCACCAGGGCAGCGGGGCGCAGCCAGGGCCTGCAGGCCAGGGTGCAGTGGATGATGGGCAGGGCCCCTGCATGGGAGAGAGCAGGCCGCGCGTCAGTCCGGGGTCTGCCTGCCCTGCCCTCCCTGCCCCCACCCCACCCCCAGCCCTTCCGGCCCTTCGGCTCACCCAGGGTGTTGACGAGGCAGACCCCGCACATGTCCAGGGCAAGGAGTCGGGTGTAGACGGGGCTGCCCCCCTGGTGGCACATGAAGAGGTGGTAGAGCACGGAGCCTGCAGGGGGTGCCAGGCAGGCCACACAGTGTGTGCCCCCCAGCCAGCCGTCCTTGCCCAGCTGACCCCAGGGCATGGTCATCGGCAGCAGCACCAGGAAGCCCAGCAGGGCCAGCCCTGAGGGAGGCAAACAGTTACGGGTCAGCCTCCGCGCTGAGGACGTGGCATGTCCCGAGGACCCGCCGGCTAGAGAGGGTGCCAGGGCGCCAAGGCAGGACAGGTGTGCTCTGCAGAGGCCGCCCAGCGCCCTGGGTCTGTAGTAACCCCGGGACGCACAGGGGTTGTGGGAATAGAGGCACCCCCGCCCCCCCCCCCCAGAAAGGCGGAGGGGCCTGCCCGGGGAGGTGGGGCTGTGCTGGGCAGCCCAACTCCAGCTGAGCCTTAACACCTCCCTCAGCAGGGGCCCCCCACCCCCAAGCCGGCCTGGGGAGGACAGCGGGGGACGTGGGATGCCAGGGCGCCCGAGGCGCGCTCCTCCCGCCCGTGTCCTGACTCCTCTGGGCCTGTCTCGGCCCAGGAAGGGGGCGGCCAGGACGTGTGTGAGGGGCCGAAGGCACCGCGTCCCTTCATCTCTCCAGTTCTCCGGGCACCTCCACGGGGCCTCCAGGACCTTGGGGAGACTCGGAGCCCTCCTGGGGAGCCCGGCATGGCCCTACAGGGATCCAAGGCAGCGAAGCCGGCTGGGGCTGCTGGCCGCCCACTCTTGTGGGGTCTGGCCAGGCCACGCCCCCCAGTTGGGGCAGGTACCGAGGCTGGGCCCAGCCCGCTCAGGGCCCCTCTCCTGGCTGGGGCAGCTCAAGGACGGGCAGGGCGGGCAAGGCTGTGTCAGCAGAGCCCGCTGGGCCGGAGGAGGGGCCGGCCCGGGAAGGAGTGGCGCCAGGCGGGCATGGCCTCGCCCCAGTCAGCACTCGGCTCCCCCGGACGCTGCCGCGGGGTACCCGGCCGCCATCACGACCGGTCCTCACCAGGCCCCTTCTCCCGGGGGCTCGGCGGGACTGCGCGGGGCCCTGCCCGCTGCCCTCGCCGGCCCGGCCGCAGCAGGGGGAGCGGAAGCGGGCGGCGCTGCCGGGGACAATAGCGGCTTTGTCGCCGCGGCCGCGCTGGGCCCGGGCGACCCAGGCCCCGGGCGGGGGGCGCTCCTCGGGCTCGGGGGCCGCCTGCGCGGGCGGGGCGGGCGGGCGCGGCTCACCGTGCGTGTAGATGTTGCCCAGCTCGTTGTGCAGGTAGAAGAGGCTGCGCAGGCAGCCCGAGCCGCTGCTGGCCGGCCGGTACCCGGTCAGCACGAACTTGTTGAACTGCAGGTGCGGCGGGGAGCTGGCCCAGTCCAGCAGGCGCGGCCCGGCCAGGAACGCCATGGCCCGCGGCGCGGCGCCCGCGCTCCCCTCGGCCGGGGGCCGCTCAGTGGGGCCGCCTCAGTGGGGCCGCGGCGCCGGGAGGCGCATCGCCGCGGGCCGCTCGCCGGCCGCCCGGGCTCGGTCAGCGCCCGCGCCGCCCCGGGGTCCCGCCCGCGCCCTCCGCCTCGCGCCCGCGCCGGGGAGGCCGGGGACGCGCCGGGGAGGCCGGGGACGCGCGGGCCCGCAGGGGCAGCTCGCGCGGCGGCGGCCGGAGACTCCGCAGCCGAGCACGGGCGCGGCCGGACGCGGGGGGGCGCGGGGGGACGCGAGAGGGACGCGAGGCCCCGCCCGCCCCGCCCCCGCGCCCGCCGCCGTTTCGCGCGCCCGGGTGACGTGGCCGCCGCGAGGGCCAATGGGCGCCCGGGAGGCCCCGCCCCGCGCCCGGCCTCGCCCCGGCGCCGCCCGCCGCCCGGCCCCGGCTGCTCGCGGGGGGCGCCCGGGGGGGCGGGCGGGGCTCGGGCGGCTCTGGCCGGGGCCCCGCCGCCTCGCGCGCCCCGCCGTGCGCGCCCGGGCGCCCGCGCCCCCTCCCGGCGGGGTCGCCTGACGCGGGCCGGGCGCTGCCCTCCGGGGCACGCGGCCCTCCCCGGGCCCCGGCCCTGTCCAAGGTGCTGCCGACCCGGGACGCTCGGAGCGACCCGTCTCGACGGCAGGCGCGCCCCACGGCGGGGGGCCTCTCGAGGCCCGGCTCCCTCGGGCCCGAAGCGAGGCGCGCGGGCCCCTGCGGGTGCTCCCGGCGCCCACGGGCGAGGCCCCGCCCTTCGGCCAGATTCTCCCCGGGTTTCGCTCCCAGGGCCCAGGGCGCCCCCCCCCCCCCCCCGCAGGCCGGAGCCCGAGGGGAAGGAGGCGGCAGCGGCCGGGAGAAGGTCGGTCGCCGCCCCAGTTCGTCCTCGGCCGGGCCACGAAGGCCTCGCGGCCGCTCAGCCCCGCCCACCCCGGCCTGCGGCCCGCCGGCCCCGCCCCGCCGCCTCCCGCCTCGGGGCCCCAGTCTCGGCCCCGGCGCCCCGTCGACACAGCCCCTCCCTCACGTCAGAACCGGCCGAGTCTGTAGCAAACTAGGTCTTTATTCAGAGCGATGCCCGGGCTTTGGACCGCACCGGCCGCCCGCTCACGCGTCGCCGTGGGCAGCGGCCCAGACCCGCCCGAGCGGGCTTCAAAGGCCCCTGAAGTCGAAGACACCACGTCAAGGTCTGGGAGGGGAGCCAGCGTCCTCTTGCCCTTCGGCCTTGGCCTTGGGGCTCTGAGGGGCAGATCAAGTTCCCGTGACAGCTCCAGATGCACCTGCCGCGGTCTGGCCTCCGAGAGGCGGCCAGAGGCCGAGCTGCCCGGTGGGGCGGAGGGCCACGGGTGAGTGCGACTTGGCTCTCAGGTGTCCGTCCTGCCGGTGGAGGGTCCAGTGAACCCTGGGGTTCCCGAATCAGAGAGCAGAGATGAGGGAGCGCAGGGAGCTCTGGCTGGAGGCGCTCAGGGGCCGGTAACTTGTGGCTAGACCCTCAGCCTGGGGGTCCCCGGGGGGGCAGGGCAGGGCCACCCCTCGAGGCCGGCGATACCACACAGCCCAGCTTCTCCCAGGGCCCCGGGAAGGCCCCAACGCCGGGGGCCCTTTTCTTGGAGCCAGCAGACAGCTCCTAGAGAGGGAGCAGACGTCAGCCGACCCCCCAACCGATCTCACCTCCAGAATCTTGCTTCGCCTGCGACCCCACGCGCCATACCCTGCACGGACCTAGGGCCTCAGCCCCTCAGGAACCCAGGAGCTCCTCCCAGGCCCGTCCCCTCGTGGGCCCCAGCTTCCCACCAGGTCCCCGCGCCCAGGGCCCAGAGGCGCAGGCGCCCGGCTGGATCCGCCCTCAGGCCCTGCCCCAGCGCGCGCACCGTCGGCGCAGCAGGCGCAGCAGCGACAGCAGCAGCAGCAGCAGCACCGACACGGCCGTCACCGTCGAGAAGACGCGAGCTGCGGGCACACGGGCAGTGAGAACAGCGGGTGGCAAGGAGACGCTCCGCAGCCGCCTCCCGCTCGCGCCCGCCTCACCCCCCATCGCAGCCTCGGGAGCCCCCGGCCGGGGACTGCAGCTCGCGTTGGCCCCGTCGGGGGGCGCGTCCGGGGTGCGGGCCGAGCCCCTGGGCGGCGCCCTGTCTTCGGCGGCGTCCTGCAGCCCTGCGGAGACGGGGGTGAGACCGGGTGGCGGGGGGCCGGCCCGGGGGCGCCGGGGCGGGGCCTCACCGCGGTAGGTGAGCGCGAAGCCCTGCGCGTGGCCGCGCGCGTCGCTGCGGAAGGTGAGCAGCAGCGCGGCGGGGCGCAGGCGCAGCGGCCCGGGCGGCGGCGGGCGGGCGCCGTCGAAGGCGCGGAGGAGGCCCCCCGAGGCGGCGTCGCGCAGCTCCAGGCGGTCGCGCGGGTCGGCCAGCTCGAAGAGGCGGAAGGTGAGCTCCAGCGCGGCGCCGGGCGGGCCCAGAGCCCAGCTGCAGTTCCGGTCCGGCCCGTACTCATCCGGGAAGTCCGGGGAGTAGATGACGCCCTGCGGGGCGGTCCAGTTCCCCTGGCAGGAGCCCACGGACACTGCGGGCGGGCGGCGGTCAGAGCCGGGCCCGCGGGCCCTTCCGCCTGGTGCCGCCCGCCGGCCGCCCTTCCTCGGAGCCGTGCCCGCCCCGGCTTCGCCAGGTGCACCCCCGCCCCCCGCCTAACCCCCCAGGCCCCGCCCGTCCGCCGCTGCCCCTCCGCAGGCCCCGCCCTCAGCCCAGGCCCTCCCCTCGGCCCCGGTGCTGTCCAGTCCCCTCGCCGGACCCGCCCCCAGCCCCGCCCCTTCGCCGACGCGCTCCGGGCCTGGCACCCCGGGGCCCCCCAGGCGCGCCCCTGCTCACCCTCGTAGACGCCCAGGCGCCCGTCGCCGCCGCACAGCTGGCCCGGGTGGCCGAAGCAGATCTGGTCACAGTCGGTGGCCGGGGCCGCGCGCCCCCGGGCCAGGTCGCTCTCGGAGCCACAGAAGCAGGCGTAGCCGGCCTCCACGCCCGCCAGCTGCGGGCACAGACCGGTGTCCCCAGGGGCGGGGGCGGGCGGGGCGGGAGGGGCATCTGGACTGGAGGTTTGGACATGGGTGTCCAGGCTGGACCCCAGGGCCGGGAGCTGACGTGGGCCCCGAGGGCGGGGCGGGCGGCGCGGGCCGGTGGCGGGGGTACCTGATAGCCCTTCATGCGGCAGAAGCGCAGGCACACCTGGACCGTGAGCTTGGTGGAGGTGCCGCTGGGGCCGCTGAGCGCCGGGGGTGCCCCCGAGTCCACGAAGCAGCCCAGATACCCGGGCACTGAGGGGGCAGCGGAGTCAGGCTCGGCGGCGCCTGCGCCCGCCTTCCCTTCCCACCTGCCCGCCCGCAGCCGCGCGCTCACTGTGGCACGTGGGGATGTCGCAGTAGCGCCAGTAGATGCCCTCCTCGGACTCGGCCACGTAGCACCAGGGCTGCACGTCGCCGTCTGGGTTCCTGCGGGGTGGGGGAGAAGTGGCGACATCCCGCGCCCACCCAGGCCCTCCCACAGCCGCTTGGCAAATGGCCTCTGAGAGCCCATCTGGGGATCCTCCCCCTCCCGCACGGAGGCGGCTTTGCCCGCGCGCTTCTGGGTGACGACCCGAGTGGACGGTGGACGGGACATCCTCACGGCGGCCCTGGCAGCTGATCTCAGGCCTCAGCTGTCACCTCCTATTATATCTGGACTTGGAGCCACCGTGTGTGGCGCTCGCCCCCCACCCGGCCGGGCCGGCGCGCCCCTTGCTCTGAAGCAGAGGCGTCCTGCCCCGCCAGCAGCTGCGGCTCCGAACCCCCAGGCCCGCCTCCAAGGTGGACGGCTGGAGCCGGGCCCCTCACTTCGGGGCTCGACCTCGGACAAGGCCCCGCCCAGATGGGCCCCTGGAGCGCTGGGGCTTGGCCCCTCTCTCCTGGCCCAGCCTGCGCCCCGACCCATCTCGCAAAAGGTGGGGCGCGCGGGGCGCCCCCGGCCTAGTGGACAGGGCCCGCCCCGGCTGGCTCCGCGCGCCCCGCCGCCGGGCCCGCCCTCACCGGCAGAAGTTGTGCGCGCCCAGCCCCCAGCGGCCCTGGGGGTCCGAGGCGCTGCTGTAGCTGTGCTGCTGCGTCTGGTCCCAGAAGAGGCAGGGGCGGCCCGCGCCGCGCGGGCCCGTGCGGTTCTGGCGGCCGCGGTAGTCGGCTCCGTTCACCTGGAAGCACTCGGACAGGCCTGCGCGCGAGGCAGGGCCTGCGGGGGTCCGCACCTCGCCGGGCGCCCCCCCGACGCCCGCCCCCGACGCCGGCTCCCCGGCCCGCGCCGCCCGCCCGCTGCCCCCGCGCCTCCGGGCCGGACCCGGCCTGGGGCTGGGAGCCGAGAGGGGAGGCGCGGGCGGGACTCACCTGGGCTGAGCAGGCTCCCCGCAGAGGCCCCGCGCGGCGGCAGCAGCGGGAGCAGGAGCAGGAGGCCCCGCAGGGCGCGCGCGCCCATCGCCCCAGGCGGAGAGACGGCGGCCCGGCCGGCGCACGCCCCGCACCGCCGCCCGCGCTCGCTCCCGGGCCTCCCCAGGCCGGGGCGGTGTCCGCTGCCGGCCCGTCCTCGTCCCCTCGGGGCGGCGCCCTCGGGCTGCAGCGGGAAGAGCCCCCCGGGTTTCTGCCCCCCGGGGCGCCTCGGTGCCCCGGGCCCAGCCGGCTCTCCCCAGGGGCCCGCCGCCCGCCTCGTCCGCGCGTCTCCAGCGGGGGTCGCGCGGGCTCCAACCACCCCTCCCGCGGCGCCGAGCGCTCTGAGCCGCCCTCGCCCGGGTCTCTCCGCGCCGGCTCCTGCCCCCCGCGCGTCCCCCGCGGGTCCCTCCCCGTCCTGCCGCCCGCCCCTCCCTCCCGGGAAGCCCCGCCCGACGCCGGAGCGGAGGCTGCAGGTCCAGACGCCTCCACCCGCCCCACCTTCCCCGACCCTCGGGTCCCCGCGCGCGCCTCCCCCACCCCCTGGCCGCGTGGGCCCGGCGGCGGTGGGAGAGCGGGGGGGGGGACGGGTCAGGCCGCTGGACAGAGGCCCCGACGGGGCCGGCGCGGGACCCTCTCCCGGGCCGCACGCCGCACGCCCCGCTCGCCGTCCCCGCACCCTCGAAGGCAGTGCACCCGCCCCACGCGCCGCCCTCCCCGGACCCGCCAGCAGAGCCGTCCTGCCCGCACCCGCGAGACAGGCGGACGGCGGACGCTCTCCCGGACGGGCAGGGGCAGCTGGCGTCTGGGGGAGGAGGCAGCTGCGCCCCTCGTCCCCGCCTGTCCCCTCCTCCCCTCCCCCTTCCCTCCCGAGGACCCCCAGTCCAGGCTCGCCGGAGCCATCGCGGCGCGTTGGAATTCCCCCGACGGGGCCCCCCCACCTCGGGGAGGGGGAGGGGAGCAGGCCCGGGCAGGCGTGGGGGGAAATTCCCCGCCCCCTCCCCTTGGGCCCGGCTCCTCAGTCCTCTGATCTCCCAGCGCCGCCCGCCGGGTGCCCCAGGGCTTGGGGGGAGGCCAGCGCAGGTGCGTGGGAGGGGGGGCTGCCGAGCGGGCGGGTGGGCGGCGGCGCAGGGCCGGGAGCTGCCCGCCCCGCGCACGTCTCTGGCTCCGCAGATGAGCCTCCCCACCCCTCACCAATCCCCCCAGGCTGTGGGGCCGCGTGGACCTGTCCCTGCGCAGGTCACCCCCCCAGTGGGGTCGCGTGCAGGGTTCTGGAGAGGTCGAGGTTCCCCAGCCCCTAGACCTCAAAGTCAGAGCTTCTTGGGTCCGGGGCCGGCGGGTGGGGGAAGTGAGAGGCGGTGGCTCCCTGAGGCTGGGGATGGGCGTGGGGCTGCCTCCCCCCGCAGCCCTCTGAAGGCCGGTCTGGCTGGGGTGCCTCCCGATTTCCTGATTACCTGAGTACCCCAGGGTGTCTCATCTGTGGGCCAGTCCCTGCCCCTGAGGGGAAAGCTGGTGCCCACCAGTCCACAGACCCTTTCTGCCAGCCTCGCCAGGGACCGCCCTACTTGGTGACCACCCGCCAGCCTCTGGCCCACCTGGAGCCTTGGGGAAGCAGGCCCAGGCCAGGGTGTGGGTGTGGGTGGGTTGGGGGGGTGGAGGGGACACGTGGGAGCATCGGCAGGCGCCACAGCCCACAAGGAAAGAGCCCACAGGTGAAGAGGGGTGGGAGCTGCCCCTAAACCCCTGTGCATGGTCCTCTAACCTTGGTCCCTGACTCCCAGCCCGGCCTCAGTCTCCTGCACAGCTGGCATGGGAAGAGGGGCCTTCCTGGTGGCGGGAGGGGTCATGTCTCCCCACTGCGAAGCTGTCCGCAGCCTCCCCGGCCAGGGAGTGACCCACGGGGCGCAGCAGACCTCTCCTGTCTCCCCGCTGCTCCCCTCAGCAGTGGATTTCAGTAGAGCCACCTGTTCTGCTCCCCATTCTTTCTCTGGTGAGCCCTCTCACCCCCCACCTCTGGCCTGCACCCCAGCTCTTGTATTCATTTATGAATACAATGAATGAATTTTTTTTGAATCTTTTTTTAAAAAAGCTGGCATGGGAAGAGAGGAGGGGGTGCTCAGTTCCAGGACTGGGCACCTGAGATGGGGGGGCACCCCCCTGCTAGCTCCGGCACTAGAACTCTTAGGGTTCCCCCGCTCCTGCCCAGGCACCCACTGCAGTTCCCCACTCCCAGGCGCCGGGGCACCTCCAACGTGGGTCAGGCTAGCAGGTGAGGCTGGGGTGATGCCCCTCAACACTGAAAAGAGGGCCGGGGGTTGGCACTCTGGTAGGGAGTATGTTGGAAACACACCCTGGCAGCACCTTCATCAGAACCTGCATTTAACAAGATCCTCAGGTTTTTTGGAGGGTGCTCGGGCAGGCCCTGTCAGGTGTGACCTCTGACAGCCTTGCTTCTCCTCCGCTGCCTGGCCGGGTGGGGCGGGCGCCCAGGGTGGACAGCAGAGGGAGGAGCTGGTCCCAGCGGCCTAGGCCTACTCGCAAGAGGGCGAAGGGGCTGCGTGGCCCTTGCTCTGCTGCTCGTGCCCGGGGCTGTCTCCTGAGCCCACCTTCACGAAGCCCCAGGTTGGCTGGCAGTTCGGGCAGGTGCCAGGGGGAAGGCTCCTGAGGCCCCCGCCCTGCGGCTGTGGCCTGACCGCTGGCGCCCTGGGCCCGGCCCTGCTCGGCCTTAGGCCCGCCCGCAGCGGGGAGGGGAGCCCGCACCCCCAATCTGGCATCATGTCAACTCACCACATCTGTGCACTTTCCAACAGTCGCTTTGGGGGTTAGGACCTCGGCGCGTGACTTGGGGGCATGGTTCAGCTCCCCACGCCCCCGTTATCTCTTGGGCTTTCCCACCCTCCGCCCCACGGCGGCCCAGCTCCCGCCCTCGCCGCGGCCGAAGTGTCCCCCTCAGGGAGGACACCCCAGGGAGAGGCCGGACCGGGCACCGCTGCCTCCTGCGCCCGCTCAGTCTGACGGGCACAACACAGGCTGCGCGACGGCTCCAGCGCGTCTCGCAACCAGGACCCTCCATGCCCCCAGGGGTCCGCCCCCGCCCCACCCTTGTGGCCCTGCCTGGGTCGGGCCTCCTCCCCGGGGCGTGTTTGTGGCCCCGCCCACAGGGCCTGGCCCCGCCCACAGCACCTGGCCCCGCCCACAGGGCCTGGCTCCGCCCACAGGGCCTGGCTCCGCCCACAGGGCCAGCGCAGGCGTGGGGGTGGAGGCTGGAAACGCCCTGTGTCCAGGGTCCCTGCTGAGGGGCGTCGGCGCGGACCCCCTTTGGCATCTGCCAGCTGCATCCGCACCCAGGCAGGCCGCTGGGGGTCCCGCGGGGGGCAGGGGGCCAGGGGGCTGAGCTAGTGGTGGGGCAGCTGCCAGGACCTTAGGGGCCAGCGTTGCCCTTCGGGGGGTCCTTTCCAAGCTCACCCTGCTTACAGGCGCACACCCCGGAGTGCTCGGCGGGGTGGGGCGGGGAGGCCGCTCCCTCTGAGCCGCGTGAGATCGGGCCAGCAGGCCCTGCTGCCCTCATCAACCCCTCGGAGGCCCTCACTGCCCTGGGTCCAGCTGGCCGCTGAGCCAGGTGACTGGCCCTGCCCCAGGCATCGGGTCTTGTCTGGGGGCACTGCTGAACCCCAGCACCAATCAGGTGCACTGAGATGCTGGTGACCCCGTTCTGGCCGCTGTTTCTGCCAAGGGGCTGTGGACACACAGCAGCTCTGCCCAGGAGATCTAAGTAAAATAGGGTTTATTGGGGAAATGCGTAAGCAGGGGATACGGGGCACCCCAGCGGCACTGTCCCGTAGCTGGTGACAGGCGCTGTGGCCACCTTGCAGGAGAGAGCCACAGCCACGCGCCCGAGGTCCTGGGGGGCCCGACCTGGGACAGGCCGGCAGGCCCAAGCCACCCCTTCCAGACCTGCCAGGCCGGCTCTGCCCGAGGGCTGTGCCCCTGTGGCCGTCAGGCCCTCGGCCTCTTCCTGCTTCAGACAAACCGGACACGCTGGGCTCGGCAGGGAGGGTCTGCCCACACCAGCCACTGCGGACAAGCCGGATGGCCCCTGCTGCCAGGCCTGGCGCCTGCCAGGCCTGAGGCTCGGTTTTAAGTCAGCAAAGGAGAGAGAGCCGGAGCAGGGAGCCTCCGCTTCCTGCCCGAGACCCCGGGGGCCGCAGCGCCCAGCAGCAGGTGCTGAGCCAAGGCCCACCTGGCTCCTGTCAGAGGCCCCTGGGGAGATGTGTGGGCAGCTCAGCTGGGCAGTCCTGGGCAGTCACGTGCTCTAGAAACCGGGTTGTTTGCGGCCAGGGAGCGCGGGGCGGGGGAGGGTGTTGTCAGAGGCGCCTCTCCAGATCATTCCGAGCAGGAGGCTTCCCCACAGCCTGGCCGCCAGCCCGCGAAGACGCCATCCTCGCCTTCCTCCCGAGAGCGCCCAGCGGGCCTGTGAGGCGCGGACAGAGTGGAAGAAAGTCTGTGACAAGAAACTAACGGTGGAAGCGCCGGGGGCCTGGTGGACGAGGGGCGTCCGTGGCAGCACAGGGGTCCCCTCCGACAGGCCAAGAAGAGTCTCATGGGCCCTCGCTCTCCGGCTTCACCTCTTTGACCATCCTGAGGGGGAAGAAACGCGCGCGCTGTAACAAGGCAGCTGCGGCAGGGACCGGCAGCACCGCCCCAGGCGCAATCCCGCGCCCACACGCCCCCCATCAGCCCCTTTAAAACATGACATGGCTCACGACTTACAGTCGGGGGAGTCCCGGCTCCCTACACTAGCTTGCCGCAGGGGGCAGCCCCAGCACCCCACGAAGCCTCGCTCCCGCCCTGGAAGGCCCTGGGCCCTGCGCCCCCGCCTCAGTCTTGCTGCGCTGCGTTGGTCAAGCACATTCATTCTCGAAAGCTTCATTCATTCTGATGCCACTGTTAGCAGCTCTCCCTCATCGTCCTGAGGCCCCCAGGGCTGAGAGGGGGCGTCCTGGCTTCCTTCTGGCCCGCAGGGAAGCTCAGCCTTTCCCGTGGTGGCTTGGGTGGAGGGACTCTGGGGCTGCCGGCCGGGGGGCTGAGAACCCCTCTGATTCCGGCCTTGTCTCGGGCTTCTGTCGCGGAGGAGGCTGGATCCCGTGAGCTGCTTCGGTGTACTCGATGCTCACTCGCTTCCATCAGCAGGGGCCCTGCCACCCCCAGGTCACCTCCGGTTTGGTGATTTCGCTAGAAGGACGCAGGGAACTCTGTGCACAGTCCTGCTCACGGCTGAGTCATCGCAGAAGAGAGACGATGCAAAATGAGCCAGAGAAAAGGCATGTGGGGCGCGAGGTGCCAGAGGAGGCCAGGCACCACCCCTCCCGGGCCCCCGGGTCACTCAGAGCGAGCGAGACTCTCCAGCAGGGAGTTAGGGCCACGTGTGCGGCCTGTGTCCACGGGAGGCCTGCCTGGGCCGAGGGGGTGGCCGTGGAGGTCCAGGGCGCCTGGCCGCTGTCACTGACATCAGATCCGACGAGAAGGATGGTTCCCTGTGCTGTCGGCGCGGCAGCCGCCATCCTCTGGGACGGCGCGTGGCAGCACCGGCGCTGCAGGATGCCCTGGGGGAGCAAAGCCAGTCCCCGAGGCCCTGCACATGCCCGCCAGACGCTCTGCTAAGTGATTTGCTTAGTTGAAGCGACCAGGCCTCCTGGCTGAGTCCCGTGGGCAGGCGCGGCTCCTGATCTGACGCGCAGGGTCCAGCTCGCTGGGGCCTACTGAGGATGCCTCAGGTGTGTTCCCACCGGATGGTGGTTCCCATCTGCTTGCCATTTTCCCTTTTTGTTCTTAAAGATTTATTTACTTATGAATATAAGAACTGGGGTGCAGGCCAGAGGTGCGGGGGTGGTGGTGAGAGGACTCCCTGGAGATAGAGTGGGGAGCAGAACAGGTGGATCCACTGAAATCCACTGCTGAGGGGAGCAGCGGGAGACAGGAGGGGTCTGCTGCGCCTGTGGCTAGCTCCCTGGCCGGGGATCGAACTCGTGCAGCAGTAGCTGCAGACAGCTTCACAGTGCTGAGAATTAGCCCCTGCGCCACCAGGGAGGCCCCTCTTGTGACCTGTTTGCTTGGTTTTGGCACCAGGCCCTATAAGCTGGCTTAGAGAATGAATCGGGAACGTTCCCTGCTGTTCTGTTTGGAAGAGTTTGTCAAGGACTGTTGCTGATTTTCTCTAAGTGGCTGCAGATTTCAGCGACAAGGTCGCCGGGAGCTGGGCTTTCTCTGTTGGACGCGGTAGAATCACTGATCCGGCTCTTGTTGCAGGCCCGCTCCGAGTTCTGTGCTTCTTGAATGGTCTCGGGCCCTCGGGCTGGCCGGGACGCTCGCAGGAGCTGCGCCCGCACACACCGTGGTGGTGCTTGGTTTTCCCACCGGCCCCCCTTTCACGCCTGATGAGCTCAGCCGTCTCTGTCGTCAAAGCTTCGGGGGAGGCAGCTCAGCCAGGGGCTGTCACCTGCGGATCTCGTCACGGGTTCAGTTTCGGTTTTGTCAGTTTTCTCTATTGTTTTTCTGTTCTCTGCCACGCGTTCCCCCTCGGCCGCCCTCCCCCTGGCCGCTCGGGGCGCGCTCTGCTCTTCTCTCCCGTGTCTCACACTTGCTGACTTGACAGTTCTGCTTCTCGACGTGGACGCTGGTGGCTGCGCGCCCCTCCCCGCCGCACCCCTGCTGCGTTGTGCTTCGGGGTTGCTCATGTCAAAAGTATTTTCTGACTTCCCTTGCGATGTATTCTTTGAGTCACAGGCTATTAATTTTCATATATTTGTGACTATCCCGAATTTATTTCTGCTTCTGATTCTAAGTTCATGCCACTGAGGTCAGTTAAACATGCTCAGCACAGGGCCTCCTTGGGGGCGCAGGGGTTAGTCTCAGTGCTGTGAAGCTGTCCGCAGCCTCTGCAGCACGAGTTCGATCCCGGCCAAGAAGCTGACCCACAGGGCGCAGCAGACCTCTCTTGTCTCCCCGCTTGCTCCCCTCAGCAGTGGATTTCAGTGGATCCAACTGTTCTGCTCCCCAGGCTGTCTCTGGTGAATCCTCTCACCCCCCACACCTCTGGCCTGAACCCCAGTTCTTGTATGCATAAATAAATCTTTAAAAAATGCTCGGTATAGGGCCTCCCCTGGTAGCGCAGCGGTTGAGCGCTGGGCTGCGAAGCTGTCCTCAGCCTCTGCAGTGCTGGTTTAATCCCCGGCTGCCAGGCAAGGGTCCCGCATGGCGCGCAGACCTCCCCTGCCGCCCGCGGCTCCCCTCAGCAGTGTCTTCGGTCCTTCTGCCTGCTCTGCTCCCCGCTCTGGCTCTGGTGAATTCTCTCACCCTCCCGTGCTTCTGACTGTACCCAGTGCTTGTACAAATAAATAAATAAATCTTAAAAAAAAATGCTCGGTATAGTTTCAGTTCTTTTAAATTTGTGGAGTCTTGTTTTAAATGTGGCCTCATCCAGAGACTGTTCCACGTGTGCTTGAGAAGAAGGTGAATCCCTGCGCAGTTGGCAGCCCTGGCCCTGCCTCCTCTTACCCTGCTTGTTTGGGGGAAGAGCGTGGTCACGCTGGAGGTGGCTCCAGCAGCCCACAGATTGGTCCCCCAGGCCCCTGTCCACACCAGGAGGAGCCGCCTTGAAGTGGCCCTGGCCCTCTCTGGCTCTCAGGGCAGGACCAGCTGCTGTCTCCTTCTGACCTCGAGGGGCTGGGCCACAACCACCCAGCTGCCCCTCCATTCTGGACCCACAGGAACGTGACAGATGGTAAATATTTGTTTTAAGCTAAGTTTTGGGGTAATTTCTGATGCCACATTAGATAATGAACATAATTACCCGCAGGTCTGGCTTTCGGGAGAGCAAGTCTCGTGGCACAGTTGACCTTCAGGCAGAAGTTTTGTCTTTTCTGAAGAAACAAAATTGAAAACATGGATTAATCAGTCTCTCCTTGTAGAAGCTGCTACAGCCAAAGGCTCAGCCTTGTGACGGCCTTGAGGCCCTGGGGCAGACAACCAGGCCGCTGACTCTGGTTTGAGGGGTCCCTAGGTTTGCAGCCCCCAAACTCCCTGTGCCTGGTAAAACAGGTGATTTGAAATCCTAAGTCAGTCATCAGCCCTTGTCATCAAAAGGGCCACAGCCGAGGGTGCCTGTATTCCTGGACCTCTCCTCTCTGAGTCGAAGCAGAAATCAGGCTTTGTTTGAACATTTCCAGGAAGTAATATGAGACGCATGCGCTGTCTGAACGCTGGTTTGTGTTCGAGCTACACGAAGGGAACCCATTTTCAGTTCAATAAAATTCATAACTGGCAAAATTTTATGTGCTTGCATGCACGCGCATGCACACGCGTGCACACGCATGCACACTCCCCCCCCCAGACGCGGAGCGTGGTCTGTGGCAGTTGCGTATCCTCATCTGCGTATCAACAGGCTGGGAGCCGGAGGAGTTCAGACCCCTCAGAATAACGGAGAGAAGGCCGGAGGGGAGGAGCGGCAGGGGGCTGCCCGGGTGCGCCCTCGGGCAGAAGAGGGCGTGCGGGCATGCCAGCAGGAGGCAGGCGGGAGGGGCGCGCAGGCAGGTGGTAAGGCTTGGCAAGGGCAGGAAGGGCAGTGCGCGGCTCAGCGGGCCTGGCCCAGGTGCTCTCTGGCCTGCCAGGGGTCAGATCCCACGGCCTCCGCCCCACCGCTCACCCCCACCGCTTGTACCTGGGTCCTCCTGCTGGGCCGCGCTGGGGAGCTGCTCGCGCTGCCGCAGCGCCTCCAGGCCCCCCAGGTCGGGCGGGTGGCAGTGGCCCCGCATCACGGTCACCCGCTGGCCCTGCGTGATGGCCCGGCTGCGGCAGCCCATGCGCGCCTGGTCCCGGCACATCCAGTACACCTTGTCCCCCGCCGCCTTCTCCTTCCTGTACAGGAAGGACTCGTGCACCAGGAAGCGGCCCCCGAGGGAAGTCCTGAGGAACTCCAGGGGCTGTGGGGTCCCTGAGGGGAAGGTGACCCGTGGGTGCCGGCCAGACGCCGGGGGGACTCTTGAGACTCTTACTAACCTGACCTGAAAGGACCTGCCTTGCCAGGGTTTGGGGTACCAGGGAGAACTGAACGGGGTGGGGAAGAGAGGAAAGCGGAAGCGAGAGTGATCCGAGGGGAGGATGAAGGCCCCACACTCAGGCGCACCGGCCACCCCTTCTTAGGGCCGAGCGGGTCCCTCCGGCTGAGGCCACCTGACTAGGCCCGGGGACTGGGAGCCTCGGAGGAGGACGGGCCGGGCAGGATGTCCGGCAGCCAGCAGGGAGACGCGGCCCCGGGCTGCCTCACCTGCGTCCTCCCTCTGGGCAGAGCCGGGGAGCTGCTCGCGCTGCCGCAGCGCCTCCAGGCCCCCCAGGTCGGGCGGGTGGCAGTGCCTGCGCATCACGGCCACCCGCTGGCCCTGCGTGATGGCCCGGCTGCGGCAGCCCATGCGCGCCTGGTCCCGGCAGGTCCAGTACACCTTGTCCCCCGCCGCCTTCTCGCGCCGGTACAGGAAGGACTCGTGCACCAGGAAGCTGCCCCCCAGCGGGGTCCGCAGGAACTCGGGGCCTCCTGGGGAGACATCACAGGCGGGAGAGCGGAGCCGGACCGGGAGCAGTGGGGGCCTGTGCTCAGAGCAGGCGCCCCGTCATCGCCCTTGCCGCCTCCTCCGGGGGCCCCACACAGCCCCCAGCCTGGCAGGGCGGGAGGCCCAGAAGGCAGAGCTATGTTCCCCGGCTCAGGGCCCCGGAAGGCAGGGTCCCCCATCTTGGCCCACGCCTAAGCCTGCAGGGTGTGCCCGGGTCCCTGGGCCCAGCTGGTGGGGAAAGAAAGTGGGGCCCCTTGGGGCACAGGCAGCTCGGGAGCCACAGGAGAGCTGAGTGCAGGGGGGCATGGAGCACACTTGGGGCGAACAGGACCCCAAGGGCTGAGCGCAGCAGCACGCCCCCTGTCCTGGGAAGCACGGAAGGAGCGAGCACGGCCGCTCACAAGACGAGACAGGGGCAAGGCAGGGCGGGGGAGCCGAGGGTGTGGACATGGGGCGCCCTGCGGGCACACCCCAAAGCCAGAAGCGCGGGCCGCGGCCCAGGCAGGTGTGCGGAGCCGCGAGCGCCCGGCCCTGCCCGCGCAGGTCCCGACGGCCGGGGCGGCGAGAGGCCCGGCCCCCGCGGCCCGCGCTCCGGGAAGCCACGCGGCCGCGTCCTCAGAAGCCCCTCAGGTTTGGGGTGTCTGGTGAGCCGGGCGGAATCGGGGTACAAGCGTCTAAAGAGAATAAAACCAGAGACCTCGCGCGGGGCGAACACCGGGGCCAAAGGGGGCCTCAGGGCCGGGGAGCCGGGACCGCGCCGGCGGGGGGGGGGGGCGCGGGGCGTCTGCGGGCGGGGCCGGAGCCGCCGCCGGACCCCGCGGGCAGAGCGCGGACGCGGGGACAGGCGGCCCCCAGATCTCGGCGCCCCCAGATCTCGGCCGCCCCCAGATCTCGGCGCCCCCAGACCGCGCTGCCCGCGCCCACGGGAAGGCCCGGCCCCGCCGCCCCGCGGCTGCTGGACCCGTGGACGGCGCCGCCCCGAGTTCCCGCCGCGATGCGGCTCCACTGGGGAAGGCGGGGCCGGAGGGGCGGGGAAGGGGCGCGGCGGCTGCCACCCCCCAGAGTGTCCCCGCGTGGGGGCGCCCCGGAGGCCCCGGCCGCGCCCCGCCCGCCTACCTGGGCCTCCGCGCGGAGCCGCCCCGGGACGCTGCTCGCGCTGCCGCAGCGCCGCCAGGCCCCCCAGGTCGGGCGGGTGGCAGTGGCCGCGCATCACGGTCACGCGCGGGCCCTGCGTGATGGCCCGGCTGCGGCAGCCCATGCGCGCCTGGTCGCGGCAGGTCCAGTACACCTTGTCGCGCGCCGCCTTCTCGCGCCGGTACAGGAAGGACTCGTGCACCAGGAAGCTGCCCCCCAGCGGGGTCCGCAGGAACTCGGGGCCCCCTGGGGCGCAGGGAGGAGGGTCAGGGGCCTGCGGGGGGCTTTGGGGAGGCGGGGCCTGTGGGGAGGGGCCTGCGGGAGGCGGGACCTGCGGGAGGCGGGGCCTGCGGGAGGCGGGGCCAGGACCTGCAGCCGGTGTGGGGCGGGGCATGAAGGAGGCGGGGCTTCTGGGGGCGGGGCCGATGGAGGAGCCTATAGGACGAGGGCCCGCAGGAGGCGTGGCCTCGAGGAGTGGGCGGGGCGCGGGGCTGCCGACCCCAGTCCTGCGTCTGGGACCTCGGGAGGCAGAACTCGAAGGGTCAGGCCCGAGTCGGCGGGCGCGGGGGCCTCACCCAGGTCCTCGTCCTGGTCCTCGGCGGGCGGCCCCTGCAGAGCTGGGGGCCGGTCTTCGGCCTTGGCGCGCCTCCGGGGCCGCGGCCTGCAGGGAGTCGGCGGGCCGGGCCCCCCGCGGCCCAGCGGGCTGCCCGCGCCGGGGGGCGTCCTGTCCGCTCGGCCACCGGCGCCGTCCGGCCCGGCCCGCGGCCTGCCCAGGGCCTTCTCCTGCTGCCGGCGCGCCGCCAGGCCCTCCACGTCGGGCGGGTGGCAGTGGCCGCGCATCACGGTCACGCGCGGGCCCTGCGTGATGGCCCGGCTGCGGCAGCCGTGCAGCGCGTGGTCGCGGCAGGTCCAGTACACCTTGTCGCCCACCGCCTTCTCGCGCTTGTACAGGAAGGACTGGTGCACCAGGAAGCGGCCGCCGTAGCAGGTGCGCAGGAACTCCAGGGGCGGCGGCCCTGCTGGAGGGCCCGGCTTCAGGGGCTGCCCCTCCCTCCACCCTGCCCGGCCTGCGCGCTGGGCCGCCCAACCCCACTCGGTGCCCCAGGCGGAGCTGCGCTTCCTTTGCCAGAGTGTGGGGCGGCTGAGGCTCACCGGTTCAAGTCCACCTCCCAGGTCCCCCCCTGCCTCCTCCAAGGCCGCGCAGGCTCCGCCTTCACAGCCTCCAGTCACTCCCGTCCTGACTCTGGGCTTGCTGTTCCAGTTTACTTCACTTCTGAACGCCACCCACACATGCCCGGGGACCCGAATGGTGCCGAAACCACAGTGGGCAAACACCTCCCTCTGCGGCCACCCTGCCCGGGCACCCGAGCACCAGCCCGCTCAGCCCTTCCCTTCTTTCTGGGCCAGGAGGCACTGGCCTTCATGACCAAGGCCAATTACTGGAAATGAAACCAGGGGAGACCCAGCCCTCCCCCCACGCAGCTGCCGGGTTGCACAGGTGGGTCCACACCTTGACCCTGGCCCAGAGCCCAAGGCCCTTGGAGCCCTCACAGGCCAGCTTCCCCGCTCGGACGGCCACAGCACTACCCCAGGCCCCACACCAGACCCGGCTATCCAGCAAGATCCCAGAAGGCCCTGGGGCCCCGGGTCTCTGGACACGGCCTGCTGAGCGCTCTGGGCGTCCGACTCGCGGGCTGAGCGCTCTGGGGACACGTTCATACTTTGTAAAGTTGTTTTGGTTTCCAGTGTGGGTGCTCATACTTCTGTTCAGGCACAGAAAAGGGCCCCCAGGAGGAGCAGGGTGGGGCACTCACCGAACCCCAAGGTCGGGCGTTTCTTGGGGGGCAGGCTCAGCAGCGAAAGGGCTCGGAACCCCTCCTGCTCGGGGGCCCGCTTGTCCGGCAGCCCTGCAGGGGCGGGCTCTGGCTCCTGGGGACACAGCCACGGGCTCGCCCCCTCCATCGGCTCCTGCACTGGACCTCCAGGGTCCTCAGGGCCCCCCGAGCCATCTGGCAGGGCTGGGCCGGGCAGCTTCTGCTTCTGGCGCCGTGCCTCCAGCCCCTCCTCGTCGGGTGGGTGGCAGTGGCCGCGCATTTCCGTGGCCCTGGGCCCACGGGTGATGGCCCGGCCGCGGCAGCCCAGCTCGTGGTGCTGGCGGCACTTCCAGTACACCTTGTCCCCCACGGCCTTCTCCTGCTTGTACAGGAAGGATTGCAGCACCAGGAGGCGGCCCCCGAACGGCGTCCTCAGGAACTCCAGGGGCGCAGGGGCTGCTGGGTGCAGGGCTGGGTTAGCAGACATGAGCAAGGCTGGGGCCGGGAAGACGTGGAAAACGCGGGGACACAGGGCTGAGCTGTCGCGGGCCACGTGGCCTGGCTCGGTCCTTACTGGAGAGACAACAGCCCAGCTCGGGGCAGGGCCACTGGGCAGGGCCAGAGAGGGCCGTGTGGGCCCAGGTCGGCGTGCAGCGCCACCGTGGCAGCTGGGCCAGGACGCAGGCCCAGAACTCACCTGTGACTGGCTGGCCACGGGGCCGCTGAGGGGCCTGGGGGCTTGGTTGGAGCGCCCGCCCCTGCTCCTCTGCCGGCGGGACCCGGGGGGTGCTGGTCTGGGGATCAGGGCCAGACATCTCCAGGGACACGATGCAGGGTACTCCTTGGGGTGGGGCATCCACCCCATCGCTGCTCTCACCGGAGGCCATGAGCAGGACCAGTTTGGAGAACTCCTTGGGCTTTGTGGGGGCTGCAGGGATGCCATCTGTGCCCGGCTCGGGGGGCTCGGGGGACGGCTCCTGGCCGGCCTTCACGTGCTCGCCCTCCTGCTCGCTGGGCTCGGGCAGGGGCATGGTGGCCCCGCGCACTCCAGCAGAGGGGTCTCTCCTGCTGCCGGGCAAGGAACTGGGGTCCCGAGGCTGCGTCCTGAGGGAGGAGGCAAAGCTGTCAGGGGTGCGCCCTGGCCCTGGGGGCACGGGATGAGGTGCTCCGGCAGGGAGCCCAGGCCTGCTCGGCCAGCATGCAGGTGCCCTCCCCTGCCCGGCCACAGGCCCCTGGCGCACCACTGGCTCTGCGCCCGCAGTGGGCATGCCTGGCCCGGGGCGGCCTGGACCTCCAACTCGGTGGGGCTCAGCCCAGACCCCAGATCATGGCCACTCAGGAGGTGCCAGGCCCTGAGGACAGCGACCCCAGCTGGGTGGGGCTGGGGTGTGGAAGGCCTGGGATTCAGGTCACCAGGGCCCTGGGCTCTGGCTGTGGGCTCCAGGGCGTGATGGGCAGACACGTCGCTCCTGGGTGAAGCTGCTTAAAGTCCTTCCGGGTTCGTCTCGGCAGCCATCGAACTGGGTCTGTGCAGGCACCGCGCCCGGCCGGGCCGCCTAGCCGCTTCCACCGCGAGCAACAGTGGTTTCGTTTCTGGGCTTGGCTTCCTCATCACAGGAGGAAGGTGGGGCCGATTATGTGCGGAGATTTGTAAGTCGCCAATATGATATTGTGAACATAGAGAAACCGCTGAAATAGCCTCCCCGGGGGCCGGGGGCCGAGGCTCAGGCTGTTACCGCTCAGGCCTGAGTTTGATCCCCCGCCAGGGAGCTCCCCACAGGGCGCAGCAGACCTCTCCTGTCCCCCCGCTGCTCCCCTCAGCAGTGTGTCTCCGTGGATCCGCCTGTTCTGCTCCCCACTCTGTCTCTGGGGAGTCTTCTCAACCCTTGCACCTGGGGCCAGCACCCCAGTTCTACGCAAAAATTAAAAAAATAAGAACAGAGAAGCTCTGCGGCCCCCATAACCTGCTGCTCCATCCCTCTCCTGGCCGCAGCATGGCGCGCACGTGGGGGCTGACCCAGCCTTCGGGGTTCGCTGTCCCTGGACAGCGGGGAGTCCCCGCCTGGGACGGGAAGCGGGGCTGACCCCGGCAATACTCCCCGCAGCCGCCAGGGGGCGCCGCCCGCGCACCGAGGGAAACGAGGGAAAACCCCGCGTTTCCGAAAGCGATTTGGGCGGTTCCTCAGTCGGGAAACTAGGACTCCCCGGAACGTTTACCCTGATGGGACACGCGGGCTGGACGCCAGAGCCCGGTGGCTGAGTCGGCGGCGACCGTCTGGTCCAAGCTCAGCGAGCAAGGCTCACGGGCTTCCAGGCCCGGCAGACGCGCCTGGGGCGGGGGACCCCCGGGCCGCCCGTCCCGTCTCCCCCCGCGCGGACCCGCGCCCCTTCCCGCCTGGCGCCGGCTTGACCCTGACCCGGGGAGGGGCGCTGGGGCACTGAAGGTAGAAAGACGGTGGTTTCCTCTCCCCTCGCCTGCCTTCTGTCTCCGCACTGTGCCCGCCGCGCGGGAGCCCTCCCCGCGGGACAGCCGCGCCCCGAGCCGGCCGCCGCCTCTGTCCCCCCAGGGGCTCGTCCCGACGCGACACCAGGTCACACCAGAGCCCGAGGCGCGGGCCGAAGCGGATCGAGGTCAGCCATGGCGTCCCCGCCGCGTGCGGAGGACACCCCGTCATCTCTGACGCCCCTGCCCGCGAGGTGAGCCCAGTCTCACCAGACAGGCCACAGGGCAGCCCCTCAGGGCACTTCAGGTGTGTCCAGACACCAGCGCTCCCAACTGGAGGAGGCCAAGGGCACTGGGGGCTGACGCAGGCGGGATCCTGCGAGGTGCTGCACAGGACAAGGCGAGGACAGTGGGACCCGCCAACGGCCAAGGTCAGCAGTACTCCTCCAACGCCGCTCTCCTGGCTTCAACACTGCACGGTGCCAGGCTCGCCACTGAGGGCCAGGGACACCGGGTGAGGGGTAGGTGGGGTTCTTTGTGTTATTTTTTTTAAATTTATTTATTTATGCATACAAGAGCTGGGGTACAGGCCAAAGATGGGGGTGGGGGGTGAGAGGATTCACCAGAGACAGAGTGGGGAGAAGAGCAGGTGGATCTACTGAAACACACTGCTGAGGGAGCAGCGGGGAGACAGGGGAGGTCTGCTGCACCATGTGGGTTGTTCCCTGGCCAGGGATCGAACTCGTGCAGCAGAGGCTGCAGCCAGCTTCATAGGTTGCGTCTTAACCCCTTGTGCCACCAGGGAGGCCCCTCTGTGTTATTTTTTAAAACTTTCTAAAACTCTAAGATTAGGTCAGAGTCAAAGTTTTATGGCCAGGCCTCCCTAGTGGCACAGCAGCTTGAGTGCAGCGCTGTGAAGCTGTCTGCAGCCACTGCGGCGTGGGTTCGATTCCCAGCCAGCCTGGGAGATACCCCATGGCAGGGCAGACCTCTCCTGTCTTGCCCGCTGCTCCCCTCAGCAGTGTATTTCATCAGTCTGCCTGTTCTGCTTCCCACTCTGTCTCTGGTGAATCCTCTCACCCTCCCAAGCCTTTGACCAGTACCCCAGCTCTTGTATAAAAATAATTTTAAAAGGTTTATGGCCACAGTGATTATAATAGAGAAAATAAGAGACGCAGGGACCTGGGTGGCAGGGAGAAGCCCTCACTGGCTGTGGACCTGGGCCCGGGCAGGAACACAGCCCCTGTGACACCAGCCCAGCTCCAGCACAAGCCCACAGCTGCCCTGGGGAAACTGAGGCCCAGGCACACCAGCACAGGCCTGCACCTCCCCTGGCCTGTGCTGCCCAGGGCCACTGCTGGTCACTGGGCTGCTCCCATCTCCTGCCTGAGCCCAGCACGTCCACCAGCCATGAAAGCCCCACTGAAGTCTCCGGGACTTCCAGTCTTTCCAGCTGGAGCCTCCCAGAACCCAAAGAACTGCGATCTTTAATAATCTCCTCTCGCTAAGGGCTGGCTGCAGGGCTGGGGTGGCTCCCAGCATCCCCCAGCGCCCCCCAGCCCACTCCACACTGCAGAGCACCAGCCCAGGCTTGATCGTAGGCCCCAGACAGGGCCAGGTCAGACCTGGAAAAGGCAGTCAGTGCTCATCTCCTATGTCTGCCTTAGGGCCTGTACCCCCAAAATCACTTCAAAGGGTGCTTTTCAAATTGCGGCTCTGACTACAGGCATGGGTGCAGTGGGTTGCAGCTGGTGGTTCTGGACTGGGTGACCCCCATCTGGTGATATCTGTGACGTGTTGCTTGTCGCGACTGGAGCATCCAGCGGTGTGTGTGTGTGTGGGGGGGGGGTGGTCCTGCGGCCCCCACATGCAGCTCTCCGCCCACCCCAGGTCTAAAAGACCAACAGCAGGGCAAGGAGCGGCTAGACGTGCATTCCCAGGACCAGCAGGAGAGCTGAGGGGTCTTCCCACCGGGCCTTTGTGTCTACCTCTGCCTGTGTGACTCTGTCTCCCCAAGAATGGCTGGTCGCTGGCTGCAGTGCAGCCCCTGGGCTCACCCTGACCAGGGTCTGAGCAGAGTCAGGATGTGCACATTCAGCAGGGGCTCTGTGGGGCCCCGGGCTGTGGACGGGGGCTCTACTTCGAGGAGCACTGAACGAGGTGTTGGGGAGGTTGGTGCCCCAGCAGCCTGAGGCGGTCTGTGCGAGTGAGCCCCAGGAAGGCCTCCCCATGCCCATCTCAGCTCAGCTGCAGCGCAGCCCCTCAGCCAGGGGCCAGTGACTCCAGCGGGTCCCTCTGGTGTGGCTGGAGAGTCACGGCTCCGCCACGGAGAGATGCTGTAGCAATTTAATGAGTTCAGACACCTTGGGGCATTTGGGGGACCTTAAGAGGAGGAGAATTTGCTCCAAGGGGCAAGTCACACAGATCTGGGGGCCAGGCTGGCCCTTGGCTCAGGAGGGCCAGTACAGCTTTTCAAAGTGGCACCGCCTCCCCGCCAGGCCCCGGCAAAGCTCTTGGAAGCAACCACGGGGTCGCACCTACGCAGAGGCACAGCCCCGCCACATGGGACCAGCTTGCTTCAAGATAAAAACGTCTTTCCCTGAGATCCCGAGCCTGCAGGGACGAGTGTGGCTTCCGTGGAAAACTAAGTGGCTCTGGAACAGCCTGGGGCCGGCCTCTCCCTGCCACTGAGCTCCAAGCTCTGCGGACGCCCAGACGGAGGCAAAACACTAGTCTACCAGGAAATCCGCTTTCTCTCCACGTAACACAGACGTGTGCAAGCAGCTCTCTCCACGGGAAGAAGCCAGGACTGCTTCCACTTGCACACTCATCTCAATATTCGTGGTCGCTGGCCTTCCAGAATCTTCCTTAGACTCTCTTGGATATGGGTTGTGACAGCTAAGAGGTCGCAGTCCCTGGATGAATGAGCTGGGTCAGAACTTTCTCACGTGTTCGCATCCCGCTGGGTGGAAGCTCAGCTGCGTGGTCCCGTGCTCCGGGCAGGGAGCTTGGGAACGACAGAAAACATGGATCTGCAGGGCGCACAGAGGGGGTCTGACTTCCCCCTCTGACTTGTTTATTCCAGGTGGGTTTAAGTGTGTATCTTTCTTTCTTTTTTTTTTTTTTTAAGTTATTTATTTATGCAAGAACCGGAGTACAGGCCAGAGGTGCGGGGGGTGAGAGGATTCACCAGACAGATCAGGGAACAGAACAGGCAGATTGACTGAAATCCACTGCTGAGGGGAGCAGCAGGCAAGACAGGAGAGGTCTGCCGCCATGTGGGAGCTCCCTGGCCCGGGATGGAACTCGTGCTGCAGTGGCTATAGATAGCGTCATAGTTTGCGTCTTAACCCCTTGCGCCACCAGGGGAGCCCCTAAGTGTATCTTTCTTTTTAAAGATTTATTTATTTGTGTATGTGTAGAACTGGAGTGCAGGCCAGAGGTACAGGGGGGTGAGAGGATTCACCTGAGACAGGGTGGGGAGCAGACAGGCGGATCTACTGAAACACACTGCAGCGGGTCTGCGCTGACAGGTGCCTCTCGGACACCCCTGGTCCAAGCTGGCGTCAGTCAGGGCCTGGAGACAACCCCCCGCTCAGTAGCCAATAGCAGATCAGGGGAATTACCTTCATACAGGTGAGCGGGAGGCACCCCCACCGGCCGCCACCACCTGGGTCCTGGCTGGGTGGGGAGCTGCGACGGGTCTCATCACCTCCTGCACCTGTGAGATAGGAAAGTGGCGAATGAGCTACAGTCCATGAATTCACCTACAAACCAGTGCCCAAGAACTGGGAGCTCTGGTCAAGGCCCCAGAGGGTCCTACAGAGTGGAAACGGGGAGAGGAGCTCTTGGAGAAGGCTCCTGGGAGATTCCAACTGCTGCCCCCACACTGATGAGGATTAGGGGTTCCAGGACCAGCTCGTGAACCCCTGTGAATATGTGACCCTCAGCGGTGCCTCTGAGCATACCACGGACATCCCTCCTGGGAGTGGCAGGGGGGCTCCCAGAGACTAAGAATTACCACCCTACATGCTCAGCCTCCCCGGCTCTCCAGCCCCGCACCAGGACACTGGCGCTGCTGTGGGCCCTGTGGAGGGGGGTTGGCAGCTCCCTGGCCTGCCTGATGCAACAGCAGCTCCCCAGTCACGGGTGCCAGCATCATGAAGGCCCCCGGAGGGCCAGGGGTCCCCGAGAAGGACCGTCCCCCAGCGGTCAGGGTCACAGAGGACACTGGGGGAGGCTGAGCTCCCAGCTCCGCCCCAAGCCCCGGTGGCCCCCGCCTGCTCTGCTGTCCTCACCGCCCCCCCCAGGCGCCAGGGCAGCCCCCCACCACGCCCCGCCCCGCCCCGCCTCCCCGCTGTTCTCCCTGCACCGCGAGGCCGGGCCACCTTCCGCAGCTCAAGTTTACTCATTTCTCTCTAATAAAATCCCCCGTCTGGGTTAGAAGCACCCCCACCGCACACCCTAATCATCGTCTCCCCCAAGTCTGAGGCGTCGCCCGGGACGAGAAGCAGCAAAGCTGATGGAATCAAACAAAAATTTCCATCACATCCTGGGAATAAACGATTTTGGCCTCGAAAGGCCGCGATGTCAAAATAATGAAAACGCGCCCTTTTCGGGGCGCAGCATCTCCCCAGGAAGGCGCAGGGAAGGGGAGCCGGCGGGTGGGGCAGGCGCTTCGCGGTCGGTCCCGCGGAGTGGACGGGGGGGGGGGGTCACGTGACGAGGGTCTGCCCCTCACAGTCTTTCGGGAGCCTCCGCCCCCCGGGCCGGGGCCGCGCGGCCGGCGGCGGGACTGAGGGGAACAAAGTTTGGCGCCGCGGGGCGGGCCCGCCGGGCGGGGGCGGGGCGAGGCCACAGCGCAAGGTCACCGGGGGCGCGGGGGCGCGGGGGGCGCGGGGCGCGGGGGGCGAGCAGGACGAGGGCGCGAGTCGCGGCTGAAGGACGAGGCGGCGGCCGCGCGCGGGCCGGGCACCCCCACCCGCGGCCCTGGAGCCCGGGGCCGGCGGGCGCGTCGCGCCGGGGGACGGGACCCCCCCGACCCCGGGGCCTGTCCTCACCGGGCCCGGCCGGGCGGCGACGGGGCGGGGCCTCCCTCTCCGGCGACCGGGCCGCGGCGGGCCCTCGGCCTGGCCGCTGCAGCCGCAGCCGTCGACCTCGCGGCCCGGGCCCTCCGGCCACCGCAGCCCGGGAGCCGCTCCCCGCCCCCACCCGCCCGCGCGGGAGCGCGCCCCGTGCCCGCGCGCGCCGCCCCGCGGGGAGCCGGCCTCCCGAACGGCCGGGCGGCGGGCGCATGCGCAGCAGGCCCGCGGGTCCATTCCTTGCGCTGGATCCGCTTCTCCGCGTCTTCGCAGCGCGACGCCCAGCTGGCGGCCTGACCAATCGGCGCTGGGAGGCGGGGCCAGGACTCGCGGCGGAGGCGGGGCCAGGGCTCCGGGCAGGCGGGGCCAAGCCTCCCGAGGAGGCGGGGCTAGGGCTTGCGTAGGGGGCGGGGCAGGCCCAGGATTGGCGGCGGCGGCGGCGGGGGGCGGAGCCTCTCCGGGGCGGGGGCTGGGTCTGGGGTCTCCGCGCCGCAGGTTCCGCCGGGTGCGGTGGGGGCGGGGCGCCCGGGTCTGCCCGCCGAGCGCGAGCGTTTGTGTCCGCGCGCCTCAGGCCGTCTTGGAGCGGAAGGGGGTTCCTGGAGCGCCCCCCTGCGGCCTCGGTGGCCCCCGCGCTGGCCGGTCTGAGAAACTGAAATGAGTGAGGACAATAAGGCTCTGGGCCCCGCGTGCGGCGGGACCGTGGGGATGAGGGGCCAGCGGGGTGCGGGAAGCGCACAGCCGCAGGGAGGGGGGTGCGCCGGCCGCGCAGCCCACAGTCCCGGGCCCGAGGCGGGCAGTGCACGAGCCCCGCGTCTCCCGCAGGTGCTTGTTAGCCGCGAAGGGGCGCTCGTCGAGAAATGGTTCTCAAGATGCCTGTGGGGCCTCCCCGGTGGCGCAGCGGGTTGAGCGCAGCGCTGTGAAACTGTCCGCAGCCTCTGCAGCGCGGGTTCGATCCCGGACGGCCGGCAAGATACCCACACGCCGCGGCGGACCTCTCCTGTCTCCCCGCTGCTCCCCTCAGCGGTGGATTTCGTCAGTCTGCCTGTTCTGCTCCCCGCTCTGTCTCTGGTGAATCCTCTCGCCCTCCCGCACCTCTGGCCTGTACCCCAGCTCTTGTATAAATAAATAAATAAATCTTTAAAATAAATAAAGTCCAAATTCCACAGTAAAAAAAAAAGAGTTGGCTTATTTTATTTTATTATTTTCTTTAAAGATTTATTTTATTTATGCATACAAGAACTGGGGTGTAGGCCAGAGGTGCTGAGGGGAGGTGAGAGGATTCACCAGAGACAGAGTGGGGAGCAGAACAGGCAGATCCACTGAGATACACTGCTGAGGGGAGCAGTGGGGAGACAGGAGAGGTCTGCTGCGCCTTGTGGGTCAGCTCCCGGGCGGGGGATCAAACTCATGCCTCAGTGGCTGGTGATAGCTGATAGTGCCGAGTCTTTAACCCCTGTGCCACCAAGGATGCCCTGGGTTGTTATTGTATTATTGGATTTAAAAACTGTTTATCAGTACCTTATCAGATCTTTGATTTGCAAAAACTCTCTCCTTCTGGGGTTGTTATCACTTTATTGTCTCCTGTTGAGATGGTATACCTTGAAGCACAAAAGCTTTTCTTCTGGAAGACGTCCAACTTAGCTGTTTTTCTCCTTTTGTTACTTGTGCTTTGATGTCATAGCTAAGAAATCCCTGCCTAATCCGAGTTCACAAAGATTTACTCCTTTGTTTTGCTTTTAAAAGTTTTATACCTTAACTCTTTCATGAGTCTTTGGCCCATTTCGAGTTCCTTTTTGTATGTGGTGTGAAATAGGCCTCCACCTTCATTCTTTTGCATGTGGCTACCTGCCTGCCTTAGTACATGTGTTGAAAAGATGAGCTTTTTCCCCACTTAAACTTGCTGGCACCCTCGCTGAAAAGCAGTTGCCTATCAGTGTGAAGGGTCATCTCTGGGCTCTCAGTTTCGGTCCATGAATCTAAGTGCAGGCACCTCAATATCTGGGTCACCCTGGCTTATAGTAAGCTTTGAAGTCAGAGAGACTGAATTATCCCATTTGCTCCTCGTTTTTAGGATAGCTTGGATTGTTCTGTGTCTCTTGAATTCCCAGTTGTCGTTTTTCTTGTAAAAATTTTTTAAAGATTTATTTTATGCATGCAAGAGCGTGGGCACAGGCCAGAGGTGGCGGGGATGAGAGGATTCCCCAGAGACAGAGCGGGGAGCAGAACAGGCAGACGGACTGAAACACTGCTGAGGGGAGCAGCGGGGGACAGGAGAGGTCTGCTGCGCCACGTGGGTAGCTCCCTCGCCGGGGATCAAACTCGTGCTGCCGAGGCTGCAGACAGCTTCATAGGTTGTGTCTTAACCCGTTGCGCCAGCAGGGAGGCCCTCTTGTAAATATTTTAATCTCTATTTATTTTTTGTAACATTTGGTTAACGAACTGTTTGTCTCGTCAACATTTTCGACCATGCCGCTCTGCTTTTCTTTTTCCTCACTGCGCGAACTCACGCCCGCAGCCGCTGCCCTCGCGCGCCTGCCCGTCTCGCGGCCCTGCGCGGGGGCCCCTCCCGGGGACGGCGCGGCCCGCGCGGGGCGGGCGGCTCAGGCCCGTCGCTGTCCCGCCGGCCGCTGTGTCTCGACGTCGCCGTCACGCCCCGCGCCGTGGTGGCCGCGTTCACCCCCAGCACGTGGGGAATCGGGCGCGTCGCCCAGCGCTCCCGCGGCTTTTCCGCGTCTGTGAAGTTACGTCACAATAAAAGGCCGAACCGGCGGCACCTCCCGCCCGCTCTCCTACCGCGAGAACCCCTGTTTCCACGCCTCGTGGGTCCAGCCCCCGCCCATTGGTCCCGCCTACGTCCCGCCCCCGCCCCCCCATTGGGCCCTCCTGCGCCCCGCCCCCGCCCATTGGGCCCTCCTGCGCCCCGCCCCCGCCCATTGGTCCCTACCGCGCCCGGCCCCGCCCATTGGTCCTACTGCGCCCCGTCCCCGGCCAGTTGTCCCTACTGCGCCCCGCCCATTGGGCCCTCCTGCACCCCGCCCCCGCCCACTGGCCCCGCCCCCGCCCATTGGGCCCTCCTCAGCGACGCCCCGCCCCCTGGGGGAGTCAGGCCCCACAGCCCTTTCCGACCGGCAGCAGGAAGGGGAAGCCCAGAGGCGCGCTAGCCCTGTGCCATGGGCAGGGGTGAGGCCCTGGGGGATGGACGAAGCCAGAGCGTCGGAGCAGCCGGGCAGGCCGGGGAGGGTGGGGTGGGGCCGGGCTGGAGGACCCAGGACCCTGCAGGCTCAGAGGCGTCCACGGCGGGGTCCAGCTTCTTTTATTCACTTTTTTGAATCTTCTGCTTACAAAAGTGACTGATGCTTCATCAGGAAAAACACACAATGTTGAGGGTGAAAAAACGGTCGGCGACGGGGCCAGGCGGAGCCGAGGCAGGGAGTCATGTCGAGGTCGCTGAGCGCTCAGACTGGCCGCTGCCAGGGCTGCCCGGACGCGGGGACGCTGGGGCAGGGGCGGTGGTGCTGGGGGCAGGAGGCCCCATCAAACTTCCATCTTCCTTCCCATCTGGAAGAGAGGGGCGTGGGTCAGGCCGGGGTGAAAGGAAAGGTTGGGGGGACAGGTCCAGGCCCGCAGGGCCAGTGATGGCTTAGAGACGTGCCGTCCCAGAGGCTCGCCCCCAAAGGCCCCGCGTCCTGGGACACAGCCTGCTGGAGTCGCTCCCAGGGAACTCGGGGCCAGAGCACCCAGGCTCTGGCCTGCCTCAGGCTGGCAGGGGTGGGGTATTCGGGGCTCAGATAGACTCAGACACACAAACGACCACACAGCCAACCCCCAGGCCCCGCGACGCACGCTCGGATGGCGGACAAACCTGGCCCGGGCCGGAGCCTGCAGAAGCCAGTCGGCCCGGAGCGGCCACGGGGCCAGGAACTTGCCCAGAAACCCTCACGCTCGCTCCCACCCCTCCGGCCTGCCAGCCTGTCTGGCCCACGCCGCCCTGGGGAGGGGAATCCAGCCCCAGGAGGTCTCGCTCCCCTCCCTGCTCCCTGCGAGCGGCTCACCTGCGCCCCGCTTGCAGCGCTTCTGCTCGGGCTCCGGGGGGGCCGCCTCGATGGCCCGCTGGGCCTCGGGGTGGATCTTGAGGAGGGCCTTGGCCAGGGTGGCGGGGCCGGGCACGCCCAGGGACATGATGCAGTGCACGCCCTTGCGCTTGGCCCCGGCTACTTTGGCGCTGTCCTTGGAGGCTGTGAGCAGGACCAGTTTGGAGAACTTCCGGGGCTTTCTCGGGGCTGCGGGGACGACGCCTGTGCCCGGCTCGGGGGGTTCGGGGGACGGCTCCTGGCCGGCCTTCACGCGCTTGCCCTCCTGCTCGCTGGGATCGGGCAGGGGCATGGTGGCCCCGCACACCCCAGCAGAGGGGTCTCTCCTGCTGCCGGGCAAGGAACTGGGTTCCCGGGGCTGCGTCCTGAGGGAGGAGGCAAAGCTGTCAGGGGCGCGCCCTGGCCCTGGGGCGCGGGACGAGGGCGCTCTGGCAGGGAGCCTAAGCCTGCTTGGCCAGCACACGGGCGCCCTCCCCTGCCCAGCCACAGGCCCCGGGCGCACCACTGCCTCTGTGCCTGCAGTGGGCATGCCTGGCCCGGGGCGGCGGGTCGTCCTGGCCCCCCAACTCAGTGGGGCTCAGCCTACGCCCCAGGCCGTGGCCACTCGGCAGGTGCCAGGCTCTGCGGGCAGCGACCCCAGCTGGGTGGGGCTGGGGCACGGAGGGCCTGGGAGTCCTGTAACCGGGGGCCCAGGCTCTGGCTGGAGAAGCCAGGACGGCCCGCAGCCGGGCCTGGAGACAGGGTTGGGGGGGTGCCCTTTGCGTCTTGGGGGCTGGGGTCCGGTGGAGGCAGGGGCTTTCCAGGTCTCCAGTGGGCAGCCCCCACCCGCCTGCCCAGGACCCAGACAGCAACAGGGCCCAGATGCCCTCGTGCCCCCACACCTGCTTCACCTGACGCGGCTGCGTGATACTCATTGTGTCTGGGGCTCTGCAGAGCACATGGACTGGAGGTTCCATGCCCGGCATCCCAAGGTTTTCTCCCAACACCCCAACATCCATGAGAGGCACCTGGGCCCAAGGCTGACGGTGGGTTGTGGTGTCTTCCCCCTGCCCAGCCCCGACTGCTAGGCAGGCCTCATGCATGGCGGCAGACTGGCCTCATCCCCCCCCAGCCCTCCAGGGGTGCTGCCTGGACCCGGCCACGGCAACATCAGGGTTGGGGTTCCGGCTCCCCCTCTCCCTGGAAGAGCCCAGCCCTGCCCCTCCCGAGCGCTTCAGCCCAGGTGGCTGAAGGCCCCTCCTGCCCCCGCCGGCCTCGCTGCCCGCTGGCCTCGCTGCCCGCCGGCGTGGACGGGGCAGGGCCTGGCGCCGCACCAGACCCCGACGCGGCTCCGGGAAGGCGGCGCTGGCAGGGACGGCCTCCCTCCGGCCTCCCTCCGGCCTCCCTCCGGCCTCCCTCCGGCCTCCCTCCGGCCTCCCTCCGGCCTCCCTCCGGCCCTGCGAGCCTCTGCCTGGACGCGGGAGCTGCTGACTCCCCGAAGACCAGCAACACCAGGGCCTCGCGGCCCGGATCCCGCCGGGTGAGGCGTCCTCGGCCGTTTCCGGCGGGAGAGGCCACGGCCCGGGCGAGGCGGGCGAACCGGAGACGCGGTTCTCGGCACCGCGGGCTCGAGTGGGGCCTGGCCCGGCCGCGGAGACCCGGGGCCTCGCTGGACGCGGGCAGGCGCCGGGCGGCCGGACAGGGGGATCCCGGCCGCGGAGCCCCCCCCGCCCCCAGCCTCCGCGCTGCCCTCCCCTCCGGCGAGGACCTCGGACACGCGGGGTTCGGGCCCAACTAAGGACCGCGCTTCACCGGCACCGTCTCGTGAAAGGCCCCCCTTCGCGAGCAGCCGCACCCCGAAAGGGCTGGGAGCGGGCCCGGGAGCCCGGCGGCGGCGGTGGGGGGCCTGAGCTCGGGGCAGACTCGGGGTTTGGGGGGGTGGGGGGGCGGGGTCTCTGTCTCCGAGGCCCGAGGGCAGGAGGCGGCGCCTGGGGTTCTGCCTTCAGCTCGTCTTCCAGGGGAGAAAGGACGTGGGGAAAAGGCTCGGGGGAGCGACTTTCCGAGCAGCCGGGGTTTGGGGTGTCTGTGCCGCGCTCGGCCGACACCCCCCTCCTCCCCCCCCACCCCCCCCGCCTCCTCGGCGGCAGCACCCCGGCCCCCCCCAGCTCGGCTGCAGCACCCCGGGGGGCCGCCAGGGGGCGCGGCCGGTGAAGGGGTGCGGGGGGCCGCGGAGGGCGTGAGCCCCCAAGATGTCTCCTTCCGGCTGACAGACAAGCCCCGCCAGAGCGCGGACGGGCGCGCCCAGCAAGGCGGGGCTCCGGGGCGCGCTCCCCAAAACCCCGACGCGGAGCCGGGGGGTGGGGGTGTGGGGTGGGGGGCCCTCTCCGAGCCGCGCCCGGCCCTCCGCGCCTCGCAGGCTGCCCCGAAGGTGAGGAGGCGGCGCGCGCTCCTGTCTCCTCAGAACCAGATAAAACACAAGGAAACACGCAGAGCAGCGGGGGGGGGGGGGGGGGACGGACGAGGCCGCGCCTCTCCAGGGCTCTGTGTTTTCTCTAACTTCCTGGGGTGGCCCCAGCCCCCCCGCACTGCTGTCACCCGGGAATGGACGCGACCTTCCGAAAACAAGACCCACTTCCTCGGGAGGTGGTTTTCTCCGCCCCGCCGCCACGCGGCAGAGGAGGTCGCCCTGCATCCCCCGCGAGGCCACGCCAGACCCGGCAGTGCGGGTTTCCTAAATGAGTGAAAGAATTAAGGACATTGAACCCGGGGTTCAAACGTACAGACACACCCGAAGAAGCCGAGAGGAGGCCCCGAGCCTCGCGGGCGCGACAGAGGCACGTGACACCTGGCCCGGCCTCGTCCCCGCCAGCACTGAGGTCACCTGCCGGGGCCAAGTCGCCGGACCAGGCCCCCAGCTCCCGGGCCGCCAGCCCTGCCTCCAGCACCCCGAGCCCACCGTCCCAGCTGCCCGGCCGACTGAGGCCAGGGGCCCGAGCGACGGGGCGCCACAGGTGCCAGCCAGGGCTGGGTGGGCCCGGGCCCGCATCTCCCCTGCCCTGCGCCGGCCGCAGTGAAGACGCCGGAGGAGACCGAGGCCTGGCTGCCCAGAGGCCGCCCCCGGGCAAGTCCTCAGGCTGCGAGCCCAGAGGTGAGAGGCGGCCACGCTGGACCCCAGTCTGCACTGACGGCAGCAACTGACAAATAAACGAGGAGGGGAACAGTCCTTCTTCTAAGGCTTCCAAACGGAAGCTTCCCCTTCCAGCAAGTGGAGCTTGAGGGACCCGTGAAGGAGGCCCCAGCGCCCCGGGACCAGAGGGGCCAGGAGGGACATCAGCGCCTGCGGGGGAAGCACAGACAGCCTGGCCGGGCCATCGGGGTGACTCACCCCAGAGAGTCATGGGGTGCCGGCACCAGCACCCTGTGAGGAAGGGGCAGCTCACCCCTGTGGGCTCCATCTCCCAAGCCCCTCGAACCCAAGAACACAGCACCCGCCGAGGGGCGGCCTGCGCCACGCTGGGCAATGACCCTTCATGAGAAACAGCGGCGAGGACCTGCGCCGCCGGAGGCCGGGAGCCCGGGCCTGGACGGGCCACTGCGCCGCCCCGCGCCCCGCGTGACGTCCCCGCCAAAAAGGACATTCCCGGGAAACCTGGTGAAATCCCATGGTCTGGAGCTCGGGTCGTCGCAGTGTTAACCTTCTTTCAAAGTGACAAATATTTCTACCGTCGTTCTCACCCTTCTCCGTGTCCCTTCCTAGCGGCCTCCCCGCCCGGGAGGCGAAGCCCCACCACCCTCCGTCCGCCTGCAGGGGTGAGGAAACAGCTCCCATGCCACAGGCAGCAACCTCGCCCGTGGATTTATAGCAAAGATTTGGAGCAAAGATCTGACCCGACTTCACTTGGAGCCGTTAGGCAAGACCAGATTAGGGCGGGGTTCAAACTGATTGGTAAAATTTTTATGGCTGCACCAAACTGCAAAACCTCAGTGATGTAAAATGCTCCTCCTGTTCCGGGAGGCCCCTACCACCTTCTCCGGGCCAGCATGCGGGCCGCGGGAACAGTGGGAGGCTGGCTAGTGGGAAGCACGGGGGGGGGGCGGGGGTGAATAATCCACAGATACCCACGAAGCAGAGCACAGCGCAGCTGCCAATAAAGACGAGAGCCGACTCCACGCACCGGGACTGCGTGATGTCCGGGATATGGTAAGCGAGAAACAGAACCTGCAAGAGAATTTCAGCATGCTGCCTTTATTTAAGGAAAAAAGGAAGCTAGGGCCTCCCTGGTGGCGCAAGGGGTCCAGACGCAACCCATGAAGCTCGCCACAGCCACTCAGCACGAGTTGCAGCCCCCGCCGGGGGCTACCCCCATGGCGCAGCACACCTCTCCTGCCTTGCCTGAGTGTATTTCATTCCATCTGCCTGTTCTGTTCCCCACTCTCGCTGGTGAGTCCTCTCACCCCAGTTCTCGCACGTATAAATAAATAAATCTTTAAAGAAGAAAAGGAAAAAGAAGAAAAGGCAGCTCTCCCCCGGACCTAACTGCTTTGGTGTAAAAAAAAAATGCAGGAAGGAAGGCGGGTGGGCGTGAGCGAAGGGGCAGGAGGGCGACATTCCTCTGGGCTTTAAAGAGAAATGTGAACACAAAGAAAAGAGGAAAACACTTTAAATTTTAGGAGATCCAGGTCCATAGACAGCCACCCAGTAAGGTCTCCTTAGCAGAGGTAAAGTCGTGGATACTCAGGCTCAGAGCTGTCCTCACAAAGCAGGCGTGGGTAAAAACATTCAACAAAACTTCCACGGCCTGATGAAAGTATCTATGAAAAACCCCAGGGTACAATCACACTTGGTGGTAAGCACTGACAGCTTTTACCCTAAGGTCAGGAAAAAGACAGGATGCCTGATTTCCAGTTCTATTCAAACTTGTACTGGAGACTCTAGTCAGAACAACCGGACAAGAAAAAGAAATAAAAGACCTCCCCTGCTACTGTTATGCCACTGCAAGGAATCATCCAAAACTGAAATTAAGAGGAAAAATACTATTTACAGTAGCCTCACAAATAACAAAGCATTTATGAGTAAATTTAACCAAAGGCATGCAAAACTCGTATTCTGAAAAAACACAAAACATTGTGAGAGAAATTAAAGAGGACCCAAGTAAACAGAAAGGCATCTTATGGTCATGGACAGGAAGACTGAGCACTGTCAAGGTGAGAATGCTCCTCAAATGAATCTACAGATTCACAAAATCCCTCTCCAAATCCCACTTGATTTTTTTTTCAGAAACTGACATTGCTGACCCTCAAATTCATATGAAATCGGGGTCTCCCTGGTGGCACAAGGGGTTAGGATGCTGCATTATGAAGCAATCCACAGCCACTGCAGCATGAGTTCGAGCTCCAGCCAGGGAGCTCCCCCACATGGCATAGCAGACCTCTCCTGACTCACCTGCTGCTCCCCTCAACAGTAGATTTCACTGTATCTGTCTGTTCTGTTCCCCACTGTCTCTGGGGAATCTTCTCATCCCCTACACCTCTGGCCTGTACCCCAATTCTTGTATGCATCAATCAATCAAAGAATAAATCTTTGAAAAAAATTCATATGAAATTCACGAAACCCAGAATAGCTTAGAATACATGGACTCACAATTCCCAGTATCAAAACCGATCACAAAACTACTGTAATCAAGGCCGTGCAGTACCACGTAAGGATAGACATAGACCGATGGAGTGAATGCAGAGTCCAGAAACAAACTCTCACAGTGTGGTCAACTGATTTCAAACAGTGTCTCGAGACAGTGCAGTGGGGGGAAGAACAGTCTTTCCAACAAATTGAATATAAAGAATATAAATTAAAAAAAAATTAAGCTGGAATCCTTCCTCACACATTTTTAAAAAATCAACTCGAAATGGATTGAAACATCAAAGTTAAAAAAACTCTTAAAAAAGGGCCTCCCCGGTGGCGCAGTGGTTGAGCGCTGGGTTGCGAAGCTGCCCGCAGCCTCTGCGGCGCCGGTTCGATCCCCGGCTGCTCCCCGGCCACCGGAGGAGGGTCCCACATGGCGCACGGACCTCCCCTGCCGCCTGCTGCTCCCCTCAGCAGTGTCCTTCGGTCCTTCTGTCTGCTCTGCTCCCTGCTCTGGCTCTGGTGAATTCTCTCACCCTCCTGCGCTTCTGACTGTACCCAGTGCTTGTATAAAAAAAAAAAAATAAAATAAATAAATAAATCTTTAAAAAAAAAAAAAAGCAACTCTTCGTGACCTTGGATCAAGCAAAGTTTTCTTCAACATGACACTCAAAATATAAGGAGTCAAAAAGAAAAAGGTAAATTGGACTTCACCAAAACTTAGTACTTTTGTGAGTCAAAGGATACCATCAAAGAGGTTAAAAGATAGGGACAGCCACTGCAGCCGGAGTTCGATCCCTGGCCAGGGAGCTACCCACATGGAGCAGCAGATCTCTCCTGTCTCCCCGTTGCTCCCCTCAACAGCGGATTTCACTGGATCCGCCTGTTCTGTTCCGTGCTCTGTCTCTGGTGAGTCCTCTCACCCCCCACATCTCTGGCTTATACCCCAGTTCTTGTATGCATAAATAAAATAAATCTTTAAAATACAAAAAAATTAAAACTTAAAAAAAAAAAAAAGACTTGTACCTGGAATTGATGAAGAACCCTTCCTATTCAGTGACAAAAGACAAATAACCCAATGAAAACATGGGCGAAGGCTCTGACGAGGCTATAAAAACACCGGACTCACATGAGGAGTTGAGCATCATCCGTTGTCACCAGGGAAATGCAAATCCCAGCACAGTGAGCACCACCCGCATGCTGGATTGACACAAGAGAAACAAAAAATGGACACCAGCAAGGACCCGCATGGGTGGGGACCAAGTGGACCCCACCACACACAAGTTTAGGACATTCTCATCACCCTAGAAACCCGACTCACCAGCAGTCACCTCATTCTCCCCTTCCCCGCCACTCAATAAGTGTTTACTGACTGGACATAATACTTTAAAGTGAAGCAGATATAAATCTAGATGGTAAAAAAGTCGAGCAGTCCGCCTTACTCCACTCACCTCCAGCCTCTGACTAACTCCCCACCTGGAGCCCGACCCAGCCGCGGGCCTCGTTCACACCTACCCTAACTGGTGGTGCACGAGAGAGACCCAGAAATGCAAACCACACAGAGCGAAGAACTCTCAGACACCAGCAGGGCCTTGGGCGGCCGCTAATGCCCCGCTCCCCCAGGATATCCAGCCCCAATTCCTGGAACCGCTGGGCCTGTGTATTAAGTTGGGAGGGGGTGAGAATCACAAAGCTAGGGTTCGCGGGGATCACCTGGGTGGGTCCAGTACAACCGCAGTGTCCCAGAGGGCAGGAGGACAGAGACGCAGAAGAGACGTGAGGATGGACACGGGGTCGGGCGCCCTGTCGCTGGGGATGGGCAGGGCCGCGAGCCAAGGGATGCGGGGCCTCCTGATGCTGGAGACGCCAGCAAGCGCCGTCTCCCCTAGAGCTCCAGAAAGGGATGTGGCCCTGCTGACACACTGATCAGTTGGAGACCCTGTCGGACCCCTGGCCTCCCTAGTCCAGACGGCTACCAGGGTGCATTGCTGTAAGGAGCGACACCTGCGGCGATCTGTTATGGCGACACCGAGGAACACGCACCAGGCCCAGCCCCTTATGGGTGAGGCTCCGAAAGCTGGGCCTGGCCTGGCGCTGGGACCAGTGTGTCTGCGGGGGAGAAACACCACGGATGCCGCCAACACCCCGCCCGTCTCTGAGCTGGGCATCTGCGTCTCCGGGCAGTGGCCGCTCACCGGGGCTCTGCGCCAGCAGCTCTGGGGGAGCCCTCCAAGCCTCTGTCCGCTGGCTGCGGGGGCTGTGACAGGATGGGGTGAAGGGCAGACGTAGGGACACAGCCCCGCAGGAGCCCCTGTCTCTACGGTCACCCCTCCTTGGCCAAGCAGCTGGCTACCAGGCCTCCCTACGCCCCCTCAGCTCCCCGCCCCTCTCCCACCGGGCCCCAGGGCCCCGGCCCCGGTCCGGTATCTCGGGCCGCGACCCTCTGCCGCCCCGCGACCCTCTGCCGCCCCGCGGGGACCGTCGCAGCCGGGAGGGCGCCGGGCCGGTGCCGGGCAGGGCAGACGGGGTGGGGTGCAGGACAGGCGGGCTCTCTGATTTGGGGCGTCGGGGCCTGGGGCACTGGGGAGGAGGGCGCGGGTGAGGGACAGGCGGCGGCCGCGCGCGGGCCGGGCACCCCCACCCGCGGCCCTGGAGCCCGGGGCCGGCGGGCACGTCGCGCCGGGGGACGGGACCCCCCCGGCCCCGGGGCCTGTCCTCACCGGGCCCGGCCGGGCGGCGACGGGGCGGGGCCTCCCTCTCCGGCGACCGGGCCGCGGCGGGCCTCGGCCTCTGCGCCTGGGACCCCGCCCGGGTCGGGGCCGTCACCTCGAGCCGGGGTCACGGCGCGCGCACGCGCAGCAGGGCCGCGGGCCCTTCCTCGGGGAGCCCCGCTCTCGGGCCCCCGGGGCGGAGCCGGCCAGCGGCCTGGCCAATCGGCGCGCGGGGGGCGGGGCCGCGGGCGCGGAGGGGGCGTGGCAGGCCCGGGATTGGGCGGCTCCGCCGGGGGCGGGGCGGAGGCCAGACCTCGCGGGCGGGGCGGGCTCGCCGGGCCGGGCCGCGGCTGCCTACTGGGGGCCGGGTGTGTGCGCCCCGGCCTCGCTGGGCCGGCAGCTCCGGGGGCGCGACGGGACGGGCTCGCTCCCTGCCCCTTGGAGCCGCTCTCCGCGCAGCCCGCGCCCCGCCCTTGGCCCCGCGGTCTCCGCGCCCGTCGTCCCTCGTCCCCCCCCCCCCCCCCCGGGCGGCCCAGCGCGCGCCCCTCGCCCCCCCCCGCCCCCGGGCGGCCCCCTCACAGCCCCAGGGGCGCGGCCCTCTCCACCTGGGCGCCGGGGACCCCGCTGGCCCCTGCGCGGGCATCTGGGGCCTGGGCGCTGCTGGCCCGGACCCGGGGCGCGCTGTGGCCGCAGCGTCCTGGCCCCGCCCAGCGCCCCCGACTGGCCCCGACCCTCCCAGACCCGCGGGAGGCCGCCCCCGTCCCCCCCGGCTCCCCCGCCCCTCCCTCCTCCCCCCCGCCCCTCCCTCCTCCCCTCCCCCCCCCCCCCCCGCCTCTGGTGGCGCGACCTCGGGGTGCTCTGCGTGGAGACGCCCCCTTCCTGGACATCCCCACGCTGCCCGGAACCCCTCCCGCCGCCGCCCTCTGGCTCCCGAGCAGCTGCTGAGGCCCCGGGCTCGGGGCTCGCCTGCCTGGGCCTCCCGCATCCCAGCCCCAGCCCGCGCCTCCTCCCCACGCCTCCTCCTGCATCCCCTCCCGCAACACCTCCCGCGCCCCCTCCCGCATCCCCCCACCCCCGCAGACCCTGCAGCCCCACCCTCGCCCAGTGTCGGGGCCCCTTGTTTCCTGGCCTTTCTCCGGGGTCCACTGACCGCCCTCCTGTGTGGACCTGCGAGTCCTGCTCTTTCTAATTGTGTGGCTCTAACACGGGCCCCCAAATTCCTGCATCTCATGACTCCCTGAAGGGTTTTTGAAAGCTTTAAAGCTTGTTGCTGAGTTGTCCCCACGGAGGCGCTGGGCATGGGGTGGGGTGCCTGGGTCTGAATCCCCACCAGCCGTTCATCCCGGGGTGACTCCAGGCCTAGATGTCTCCTGGGGAAAGAGCACCCCTCGTGCTGCGGGAGCCGACCTTGGAAAGTCCGATGACGTCATTTTTCCTCAGAGGGAGCCGTGTTGATACCGGACATGCTGTTTGAAGACCCACGGCCTCTGACTATCCTCAGCCCCGCAGTTCACAGAAGAGGACACTGCAGAGGCGCCGGGGGGAGGCCTCCCCAGAGCCAGCTCCAGGAGGGCCCTGTCTGTCTCCTCCAGCAGGGACCCCGGGGGCTCGGCCACCCCAAGGCTCGTCAGCACCCCCAGCACCCGGCAGGAAGGCAGGGGGTGTCCTTCCCCCTCAGCCCTACTCCCCCCACGGCAGCCCCTCCCCGCAGACCCTGGGCCCCGGTTCTCAGAGGCTGCCTGACCTCAGTCCAGAGTGGCCTCCTGGAGGAGATGAGATTGGGGTGGGGGGCCAGCAGGAGGGTCTGAGTCCTCCCAGAACAGGCCCCTGCAGAGAGGGGGGACCCGGTTCCCCAGGGCGAGGATGGTCCCACTATACCTTTCACAGGCAGGGGGAGGCTCAGCACCCACTGCCCACAGGCGAAGGCTGGTTTTCAGGCCGAGGGCCCAGGGTGGGGGCTCCTGCGGGAGCAGAACTGCACGGGGCTCTGCAGGCCCTGACAGAACCCCAGGCCCATGGGCCAGGGCAGTGGCTCCCCAGGATTGTCCAGCTTGTGGTCTCTGATCCCAGCTCCCCACACAGAACCCCAACCTTTGGGATTTCCAAGGTGACAAGCGCTCTCTCCTTCCAGTGAGGTGACTCCAGAGGTACCTGTGGGTGGGGTCGCCCCCATCCCCTAGGGAGGGCGGGGAGGTTGGGGTGAGGGTGGGCGGGGGCTAAAGACCAGGCCTCCATGAAAGCCCTGGAAGCATTTAGGGGTCCCCACTTGAGCCCCGGCCCTGCCTGGAGGAGAGGGAGGCATTGGGCCCCAGCCTGCACCCCACCTTGCCCACCCGGATGCTGGGACTGTCCTGACAAGAAGTTGGTACCTGCAGAGGAAAGATGCCCAGCCCTGGGGTCACTCCGGCACACGAGTGAAGCAGGGTCATGCCATGGTGCGGTGGCCACGCTGGACCTGAGGTGGTTGACCCTGGACCAGCAGTGGGTGCCTGAAGAGACCCAGTTGGGACCTGGGCGGAGGCCGCCAGCATTGGCTCAAGGTGAAGCCGGGTCAGTCCCACTGGGGCATGGAGGCTGGCGTGGAGCACCCACAACTGGGTGTGGTGCCAGGACAGGTGGGGGAGTTTCTCCCTTTCCAGGCCCTGA